GCTGGGATATGTAAGGTGATCCTGTTTCGGGCCCTACTTGGGTTCTTGATTTGTGTTCCGGGCACCTTCCCTCAGCATCACCAGCAGCAGCAGCAGATCAAACGGTCAGCCCGCATGTGCGGCGAGTGTGAGGCCTGCCGGCGCACTGAGGACTGTGGCCATTGCGACTTTTGCCGGGACATGAAAAAGTTTGGGGGCCCCAACAAGATCCGCCAGAAGTGCCGGCTGCGTCAGTGCCAGCTACGGGCCCGGGTGAGCATGGGCAGAGCAGGGCAGGGTCAAATTAGGGGGCCGGTGTGTTCCAAGAAGAGCTGATTGAGGCTAGGATTGGTGGGCCAGGTGGAGTGGTCCCTAATTGCATATAGGTAGGTGGAAAGGAGCCTGGCCTGTCCAGATGAATGGGGCATGACCAAGAGTGCTGGGCTAGCAGGGAGCCCCCCAACCTCAGGTCGACAGGGTACAACTAGGTGTTTCTAGGTAGTCAGGTATGTCAGGCAGGTAGGGCATGGCCAAGCATGTCCGGCTATCAGGGTTGGGGCATGCAGATGTGCCTGGGGAGGCAAGGTAGGGTAAACTGGTGGGGCTAGGCACCCTCCATCTACCTGGGGCTGACCTGGGCCTTCCTCCTGCTGGCACAGGAATCGTACAAGTACTTCCCGTCCTCGGTGAGTCCAGCCTTCCAGGTGGGGCAGGGCATGCGGGCAGGTTGTTCAGGGCCAGTCCTGAGATTCTGCCCTGCAGCTCTCGCCAGTGACGCCTTCAGAGTCCCTGCCAAGGCCTCGCCGGCCACTGCCCACCCAGCAGCAGCCACAGCCATCACAGAAGCTGGGACGCATTCGTGAGGACGAGGGGACAGTGGCATCATCAGTAATCAAGGATCCACCTGAGGCTACAGCCACACCTGAACCACTCTCAGATGAGGATCTACCCCTGGACCCTGACCTGTATCAGGACTTCTGTGCAGCGGCCTTTGATGACCACGGCCTGGTGAGCAGGCGGAGCATCCCATGGTGGAAGGGTGGAGGTTGCAGAAGCAGAGTACCCATAATGAAAAGAGAGGAGGCAGAGGGTATGGAAGGCTAATTTGGGAACTGAGTAGGTGGTGGGGTAGTCCTGAGTGGGGCAAGTGGGTCAGTGTATGCCTCACTTGTAGCCCTGGATGAGCGACACAGAGGAGTCCCCATTCCTGGACCCTGCGCTGCGAAAGAGAGCAGTGAAAGTGAAGCACGTGAAGCGTCGGGAAAAGAAGTCTGAGAAGAAGGTGTTGGAGAGGGTGACATGGCTGTGGGAAGGTGGAGGGCAGGGGCTGAGTGGGGCAAGAGCCAAAAAGGGGCGGGACGCAGGGGGAGACAGGGGTCTGGGGCTGATTTCAACTCCACTCCAACTCCTGACCTGCCACGTCCCATAGAAGGAAGAGAGATACAAACGGCATCGACAGAAGCAGAAGCACAAGGACAAATGGAAACATCCGGAGCGAGCTGATGTTAAGGATCCTGCATCCCTACCACAGTGCCTGGGACCTGGGTGTGTGCGCCCTGCACAGCCTGGCTCCAAGTATTGCTCAGATGACTGTGGCATGAAGCTGGCAGCCAAGTGAGTCGTTCTTCAAGGGTTCAAGGGAGTCAGCGAGTACAGGATAGGGCTTGACAAGATTCTTCTATGTCAGTTACCTGTCCATCATTCAGTTAAACAAGCACCCACCTATCTGTCCACCTGTCCGTCCACCACTCAGTTACTCATCTGCCAGTCCATCTACCATTCAGTCACCTGTTTTCTTACCTTTTACCATTTAGTCATCCATCCATTCTGCCCTTTTTGGCTTACCCCACTTAATCATCTTGTTGCCTGCCACCTTTCTACCTGCATTCAAACGACTGCTTCCTGTAGCCGCATCTACGAGATCCTCCCCCAGCGCATCCAGCAGTGGCAGCAGAGCCCCTGCATTGCTGAGGAGCATGGTAAGAAGCTCCTTGAACGCATTCGCCGTGAGCAGCAAGGTGCCCGCACCCGCCTTCAGGAAATGGAGCGCAGATTCCATGAACTTGAGGCCATCATTGCACGTGCCAAGCAGCAGGCTGTGCGAGAGGATGAGGAGGTGAGCAAGCACAGGCATGGCGATGTGGGACCTGGTACCTGTTTCTGCCTGGCCTCATTCTTTCCATCCCATGCAGAGCAACGAGGGTGACAGTGACGACACGGACCTGCAAATCTTCTGCGTCTCCTGTGGGCACCCCATCAACCCACGTGTTGCCTTGCGCCACATGGAGCGCTGCTACGCCAAGGTCAGGGTGTCAGCCTGAGAGGGCAGATGGTGTGGGAACATCATTGGGTTCTTGAAGAACGGATGTGCTGTCTGGGTGCTGTCTTGGGAGGGCATGCAGCACATATCCACAGTTCCCTCTATTTGTGTTCATCCTTCCAGTATGAGAGCCAGACGTCCTTTGGGTCCATGTACCCCACGCGAATTGAAGGGTGAGTGTGGGTAATGCGGAGCTAGTACAGGGAGATTAAGGCTAGGGTCAGAAGTAAAATGTAGGGGCAGGATATTGTGATGGGCAAGGATAGGTGGGCCCCCTTCCATTTCTCCCTTCACTACCCTCTTTTTACTTCAACCCCCCAGGGCCACACGACTCTTCTGTGATGTCTACAATCCTCAGAGCAAGACATACTGTAAGCGGCTCCAGGTGTTGTGTCCGGAGCACTCACGGGACCCCAAAGTAAGGTTTTCCCTCAGTTCCCCACGTTCTGTCACTCCTCCCTTCTTCACTGCCCCACATTTATCTCTTCCTTTCCCCCTCCCCTCCTTCCTTTCCTTTCCCTACCTGACCACTCTCATAACTGCCATGTTCCCTGCCTCATCACCCTTTATTCCTCCTTTTTCCTGTCTTATCACCTCCTATTCCTCCTCCTTTCCTTGCCTCTTTAGCTTCTACGCCTCCCCTTTTCCGTTCCTCTCCACTGTCCCCTGAACTCTCTACTCCTTCCCTCCTTTCTCCCTTCCTAATTCCTCATTCTTTTTCTTTTTTTTCTTGGAGAGTGGGAGGAAAGGGGGGAGAGAGGGAGAGAAACACTGATGTGAAAGGGAAACATCCATCAGTTGACTCTTGTACTCATCCATGCTAACCCAGGATCAAACTTGCAACCTAGGCACCTCCCCTGACCAAGAATCCAACCCCTAACTTTTTGGTTTACTGGACTATGCTCCAACCGACTGATCCACTCCAGCCAGGGCCCCATCCCCATTCTTATCCTCCTTCCTTACCACACCCCATTAATGTCCATGTCCTCAATCCCTGCAGGTGCCAGCCGATGAGGTATGCGGGTGCCCCCTTGTGCGTGATGTTTTTGAGCTCACAGGTGAATTCTGCCGCCTGCCCAAGCGCCAGTGCAACCGCCATTACTGCTGGGAGAAGTTGCGGCGAGCTGAAGTGGACTTGGAGCGTGTGCGTGTGGTAGGTTTGGAGCGTGTGCGTGTGGTAGGAGCGTGTGCGTGTGCGTATGCTGGAGGAGGCCAGGGTGAGGCGGGTCATCCAGAGCTCCATGTCATGACTCCTTCTGCTCCCCTGGCAGTGGTACAAGCTGGATGAGCTGTTTGAGCAAGAACGCAATGTACGCACAGCCATGACAAACCGGGCAGGATTACTGGCCCTGATGCTGCACCAAACCATCCAGCATGACCCACTCACCACCGACCTGCGCTCCAGTGCAGACCGTTGAGCCTCATCTGCTCAGACATCCTCACAGCCTGCATTCCTCCATTTGTCTTTCTCCAGTGGTCCCTCGGTTTCTCATTGTGCCCATCCACCATTTGACGGCCCATCTGCCTTTACCAGATGGTCTCAAAATGCCCTCCTGTCCTTGTCTGGCCTGTTTCTCCACCTCCATCTTCTGTGACCAGGTGGAACGGTGCAGTCTGCTCGCCCTTGCTTCATTTTCCCCTGGTTTTGTTAATAAAATTTTGAAGAACCAAACTTTGGTCTCCAAACTTTACCTAGTTGCATCTGAATTCTCAAACCGCCCCCCCGCGGGGGATAGAAGGGCCAGTGTATGTGTAGGCTGTGAGTACACACAGCTGGCACCCTCTAGATGCCGGTTCTCCCCGTGGGCTGTGGGGATATGACCTGCTGCGCGAGAGCCCAGTGATCTATATTCACCGCCTCATTTTGAGACAGTGGGAATACAGTCGTCGCTCTTTCAGTGTGGCTCATTTATCACCCTGTGTGAACGTTGATGTTCTCTAGACCAGAAGTGTAGTCAACCATGGGCACAAGGCCCCCTCTTTTCTCACAACCCCCTCTCTTTGGGCATGCATGCAGAAAAAGTCCACTGACTGTCCCAGGACCTCCACCCGGCCGGCCATGGTTGTCCGGTCCAGGACAGACTCGCACTCAGCGGTTGGTTGCCGCGACCTGGCCTGTTTACTTCTAGTGCGGCACCGCCCCCTTCCCCAGTTCCCGCGGAAGGAGCGGGGGCCAGCGCGCGCCGCCAATTGTCTCCGCGCGCTCCAGCAACTGTGCAGCGGAGTGGAGAGAGCGGGACACAATAGTCCTGGGGAACAGTTTCCGCAGGGACTGGAGAGCACTGGCGCGACCTAGGCGAGAGGTGGGAGAGGAGGGCTCCGGCACAGCCCCAGTCTTCCTCGCTCCTACCCCGGGCTATCCCGGGTTACTCGTGGAGACCATCTAGGCAACCGTGAACGCAGGGCCATCCCCAACCCTCCACGCCCACTTCGGTTGGGATCGGAAAGCGCAGGCGCGAACGAGGTGGGCGGAGTGGCGAGAACTAACGGGGGGCGAAGCGAGAAGCGTTGGGGCTGCGGGTCTCTTATAGGTACGCGAGGGTAGTTGGGCTTCAGCACGCAAGCGCAGCCAGAACGGCAGGTGGGCGCGCACCGCTGCGGGGCGTAGCACGCAGGCGCGGGATCCTCCCTATTAAGGGCAAGCGCCAACCCAGCATTAGCGCGCAGGCGTCTCTGTAGGAGCGGAACCCTGGGGGCGGGCCCCGGATTTCCGGTTACGGGTGCAACGAACGGCCGCGGCGGCGACAGCTACAGCTTGAGCGGCTGCAGAGGAGGAAGAAGAGCAGGGCAAGGCGGGAGTCACAGGCGGGACCCTCGTCATGGGTCCGCGAACCTAGAGCTACGAAAGCTACCGGCCCGGTGCCGAGCTGGTGAGACAGTCGTGGGGGTGGAAGTGGAGATCGCTTAGGCGGAGGAAAGGGAAGAAGTGAGGCTCAGAACGCAGACGGAGAGGGCCCTCAGGCCGACGAGTGGGAGGAATGGCGGCGTCGGAATACTGAACGGGAGGAATGGGGAGATTTAGGCGGAGGACGGAGGGGACTAGGGCTCCGAACGCTGACAGTGGAAATGTCGGGATCCTGGGAGAGAACTTAGAGGAATGAGGGAGGATCCAAATGCTGAGGGGAGACATCGGGGCCTCTCAGGTTAAGGAGAGACAAACGGGTGTTCAGAACTTGAGGGGGATAAATGAGGGCCTCTCAGGCAGATGACGGAAAGAAGTGGGGGCGTTGGGATGCTGAAAGGGAGGGACGGGGCCTCTTAGGGGGGACGAGGAGAAATAGGGTGACGAAAACACTGACAGGGATGGCATGGTTCTGGTACAAGAACGGAGAGAAATGCGGGGTTTAGAATGTCGAGAGAAGAAATCAGGGCCTTCGGACTGACGAGAAGAATGGAGGATGAGGATGCTGAGAGGAAGGAGTTAAAAGAACTTTTTAGTTGCAGAGGAGAGGAATAGGAAGGTTCTGGGTCTGAGATTGCGGGAGGAATTATGGCTCAGAACACTGACGGAGGAAATAAGGCGGGAGGATTTCAGGCAGAGGAACAGAGGGAATGAGGGGCTGTTCAGGTCGGGCATGTACCGGAGGCGTGGACTCGGGTAGAGAGCACAGAGGAAATTGAGGCAGCGCTGTGGGAGCAGGATAAGAGGGTGTCATACAGGGAAGGAATGGGAGCGTTGAAAGACTGAAAGAAACTGGGGACTCCTGAGTCAAGAAAGGGAGTCAGTGGGCACCAGAACACTGACATACGGTGCTTGGACCTCAGTCTGAGGATGAGAGGAACGGGGGCCTCCTGAGCTGAGGGTGGGGAGTGCGGAGGTCTCAGGGTGACAAAGGAGAAGAATAGGGGGCCAGTGAGTCAAAGACAGAGAATATTTTCTGGGCCAAGGACAGGGAGAAATAAAGAGGAAGAATGAAAGGCTCCTAGGTTGGCAGTAGGGAGAAATGATGGGCTTTCGGGCCGAGGCTGGGGAGGAATAGGGGATCCAGACACTCAGAGTGAGGAAGGAGGACCCTTGGGTTGAGGGAATTTAAAGCTCCTGGGCTCAGGTCAGGGAAGAACTGAGGAGAGTGGGGGTTTTTCTTCCTTATATTGGCCAGTTACCTGTATCGGGCCTCAGGTCTTGGACAAGTATGAATAGATACCAGTGGTTTGTGTGGCCTGGGGCACAACATGTCAGCTCCTACAGCCTCAGTTTCTCTCATTTTCCCCTCTGTGTTGCAGGCTGCTGCTCCTTCCCTTGTCCCCCATGGCTGAGGAGTGGCTGGACTGCCCAGCCCTGGGCCCAGGCTGGAAGCGCCGTGAGGTTTTTCGCAAGTCAGGTGCCACCTGTGGACGTTCAGACACCTATTACCAGAGGTACTGGTTGGGTTGTGGACAGAGTCATGCTGGGCTGAGCCTGGTTAGGCAGAGTGAAATCGAGGTGTGTGTTTAAATTTATGGCCAAACTAAAATTAGGCATATATATTTGATCCTCATTATTTGCAGAGTCCATATTTGCAAATTCGCCTATTCACTAAAATGTGTTTGTGTCCCTAAAGTTATTGCTCAGCTGTGCTTTCGTGATCATTTGTGGACATGCACAGAACAGCAAAAAATTTAAGTCGCCTGATGTACATGTCCCCAGGTGTAGAACAAGGCCTTCTGATTTCAGCACTTGAACTGTAAACAAGACCTTTTCCGGTGTACTTAGCGTAGTGTTTTTCAAATTCTTGTGCTGTTTGCAGTAGCCCCCAAGCTTTGTGGTGAAGTGCTATCTAGTGTTGTAAGTGCAAGAAATCTATGACGTGCTTGTAGGAGAAAATAATGTTAAATAAGATTTGTTCAGGTGTGAGTTGCAGTGCTGTTGGCTGTGCATTCAATATCAATGAATCGAAAGTGTGGTACATCTAGAAAAAGAAGAGGAAATTTACCAATTTGCACGAGGATACTTTAGAAAATGCTAAAGTAGCATGCGATGAAGCTAAAGAAAAGGTGGAAAATACGGAAAGTCCTAAAATACCATATATAGTGAAGATGGACTCCAAAGCTTCTGGCTTTACATTATTCAAAGACCTTTACACTTAAGGATTTAAGATATTTTAAGGTATATTAGTAATGTACTACTTATTAATTTTTTTACATTCTTTCTGAACTTTGTCTAACTTGTTTTCCTGAAAGAATATAGTAAAATTACAAATGTAATTATATTATTCATATTTAGTTGTACATTTATTCGCATACTTATAATGTATAAAACCGGCCAGTGTGGCTCAGTTGGTTAGGGCGCCTTCCTGTAAACTGAAAGGCTGTGGATTCAGTCCCAAGTCAGGACACTTACCTGGGTTGTGAGTTCATTCCCTGGTCTGGTTGGGGTGCATACAGGGGGCAGCCAGTCGATGTTTCTCACATCAGTGTTTCTTTCTCCCTCTCCCCCCTTCCTTCCCTATCTTTCTAAAAGTAATGGGAAAAAAATGTCCTCAGGTGAGAAAAAAACTTTCAACATTTACAAATGTAAGTGCAGTTATCAAGAACTATAAAGGATTAGAGATTTTGCCGTAACTAGGTGAAGATAACAAGTGAGTATGTCACTGTTCAGTGAATGCTGGTAGGAGACACGAGATTCCTGGGTCAGAGATGAAAGAGTTTATTACTCATAGCAACAGCAGTATCCAGGATGACGTCCTTTTTGTGCTCGTTCCCTGAATATGGGTTCCCACAGGGTCACATGACAAGAGGGCTAACTAGCACCTGCATATGCACTGGGTTATGTTGTAGGAAAGGAACCCTGAGTTCCCCCCCTTTTTTATGTTAAATTTATTAGGATGACATTGGTTCATATGGCCATATAGGTTTCAAGTGTACCCTTCTATGACACATGATCCACATACTGCATTGTGTGCCTACCACCCAAAGTCAAGTCATCTTCTGTCCTGTGTATTTGGCATCCAGTCTTTTTTTTTTTTTTTTTTAATTTATTTATCTTTAGAGGGGAAGGAGAGGGGGAGAGAAACATCAATGTATGGTTGCCTCTAGTGCATCCCCTGCTGGGAACTGGCCTGCAGGGAACTGGCTTGCAACCCAGGAATGTGCCCTGACTGGGAATTGAACCGGGATCTTCTGGTTCGCAGACCTGCGTTCAATCCACTGAGCTGCACTAGCCAGGTGGCATCCAGTCTTTTACAGTGTTTAGGACAGTAGGGTGTCTGCCCTTTTCTCTAAAAGGAAATCCTTTGTCTTATCTTCCAAGGTTTTGATGTACAAACATCCTTGAAAAGATAGTTAATTGCAAAGGACAGTTCATGCCTTCTTTTAGATACCTGTTGAGTATTGTGTCCTAATATCAATTGCTTAAATACTTATTTTTTATGTAGTATTTATTTGTTTATACATCTGTTTGTGTATTTACATGTGCATTTTATGTGTATCTTTTTAAGCATGTTTTTGTGTAAGTTTTCTTATTTGTGTATTTAGTATGTAATGCTAATACATTTATGTGTTTAGTGTGTTTCTGTTTCTATTTGTGTTTATTTCACTTACATAGAATACCATTAGTAGTATATATTATAAATATAGACACTTATTTGCATTTACATTACTTACTAGTGTTTGTATACCTGTTGGTATTTATATACCTTTAATATTCTTCTTATTCAGGGTTAGTTGGGGTAGGGCCTGGTCAGGCGGGTCCCAGGCTACCTTTTATATCCTGCCAGCCCTGCAGACCTGTTTACCTCCTGGTGGGAAGGTTGTCTGGGAGCAGCAATAGTGTCTCCACCTGCCTACCAACTCTTCCTGGCCCACTCCCAGCCCCACAGGAGACAGGATCCGAAGCAAGGTTGAACTGACCCGATACCTGGGCCCTGCATGTGATCTCACCCTCTTCGACTTCAAGCAAGGCATCCTGTGCTATCCAGCCCCCAAGGTACTGCACAGTGTGGGGTACCCAGATGCACGAGTGGCTGAGCCACCTAATACCCACCCACTGACCTACATTCTTCCTCCCTTTGCTCTCATCTCTAGGCCCATTCTGAGGCTGTCCCTAGCAAGAAGCGGAAGAAGCCTTCAAAGCCTTCGAAGCCTTCGAAGCCTTCGAAGCCTTCAAAGCCTTCAAAGCCTTCGAAGCCAGTTAAACCTGGGAAATGTCAGGTTGGACCCCAGAGAGTTGAGGTCAGAAAGGAGGCTCCAAGGGATGAGACCAAGGCTGATGCTAACACAGCCCCAGCTTCGCTTCCTGCGCCTGGGTGAGTTTTGGCCTAAAGTGAACCAACTGGGAGATGGTTGTGGTTGGCAGTGCACTCAGGGCCCCACACTTATGTCTCCTATTCCAGGTATTGTGAGAACTGTGGAATCAGCTTCTCAGGGGATGGTACTCGAAGGCAGCGGCTCAAGACATTGTGCAAGGACTGCCGAGGTGAGTGGCCCTTAGGATTCTGGGAAATAGGAGCTGGACCGGGTCCAGTGTTGGGCTGGAGGTTGAATGGTGGGTGTCGAGGCGGAGGCATTGGATAAGGCCATGTATCTGATGCTCCCTTTCCACTTCTCTTGTCATATCTCCTTTCCCTCAGCTCAGAGAATTGCTTTCAACCGGGAGCAGAGGATGTTTAAGGTAAGCACAGTCTGTCTCCTCACAAATATATGGTGGGAGCAAGATGTGATGGAAGCTGGCGGAGTGTCTGAAGGAGTGGTGATGGATCCAGAGGGTGTTAGAGTTATTTTGTAGGGAGCTAGCTACAGTCAGCAGGCTGCAATGGGAGGTAAGGGGTGGCAGTAGACACAGTGACGAGGTTAATGGGAACAGTAGACATTGTGGGGGCCTTAGTGATGGTGGCTAATTAATAATTATCAGATACAGTAATGAGTCAAATAGGGGACTAGCAGACTTGGCGATGGGAACTAATTAGGGTCAGCAGACACTTGAGGGGCAGTGCTCCTGGAGTCATTCTGCTTGGGCATGTGACCTTGCCCCACCCATTCCTGGCAGCGTGTGGGCTGCGGAGAGTGTTCAGCCTGCCGGGTAACTGAGGACTGCGGGGCCTGCTCCACCTGCCTTCTGCAGCTGCCCCATGATGTGGCCTCGGGGCTGTTTTGCAAGTGTGAGCAGAGACGATGCCTGCGGATTGTGGAAAAGGTGAGTAGGGCAGATGGGATGGACCCAAGGCTAACCCTACCCCCTGGCCCTCGTAGCCCTGGCCCTGTGCATCATGCCTCTGGCCCCCCCACAGAGCCGAGGGTGTGGAGTATGCCGGGGCTGTCAAACCCGAGAGGACTGTGGCCATTGCCGAGTCTGCCTTCGCCCTCCCCGCCCTGGTCTCAGGCGCCAGTGGAGGTGCGTCCAGCGGCGCTGCCTACGAGTGAGTCAGGCTGGAGGGGCCGGTGCTGGTGGGGCCAGGGCTGGGGCAGAGCTCATTCTTCTATTAAACTTGCTGCTGCTGCTGCTTTTAAACTGGCCTTGCCCACCTCATGTCTTCTTTTCTCCTTCACCCCACTCTCACCTCCCTGGCTCCACCTACCTGCTCCTGTCTGCCAGCATCTTGCCCACCGCCTGCGTCGCCACCATCAGCGATGTCAACGACGCCCTCCCCTAGCTGTGGCTCCCCCTGCTGTGAGTGCCTTATCCCACACTCTGCCTGTCTGTCCCATGCATGCTTTCTGCATTCCTGGGTGGGGAGGGTCCTGTGTCTGCCTGGTGCTACCAAGCTTAAACTAAAGTACCTTTTTGGCTTTCTCATAGGGTAAGAAACGTAGCCGTCGCAGGGGAGGCTGCGACTCCAAGATGACTGCCCGGCGGCGCCCCCGAACCCAGCCACTGCCTCCGCTTCCCCCATCTCAGCCTCCAGAGTCCCCAGAGCTGGTGAGGCCCTGGAGGGCAGGGGGAAGGCACGACCCTAATCTTACCCAGTACCTACCCTGACCCCACCCCATTTGCCTCTGCAGCGCCCCAGAGCCCTGGGCCCCTCGCCACCTGCCGAGTTCATCTATTACTGTGTAGACGAGGACGAGCTAGTGAGTGGCCCCATCTTATCTGGACAAGCCTAGACTCTCCCAGGGCCCTCAGTTAAGCCCAAAGAAGCACATGCTGCACTGGGCCTAATAGGGGAATAGCAAGGCATAGCAATGGGCACTAGTATGGGATGAGCAGACAGTGGGCGAGGGACTAATATGGGACCAACAAATGCACTGATCATACCTAATGTCAGATGAAGCAACATTCTGGTGGGGCTACAAGAGGAAAAGCTGACACAGTGACCAGAGTTCACATAGGACGAGTAGATGTAGCAGGTATGGTGATAGGAGCTAATAGAGAGTCAGCAAACTCCTTCTGGAGGTGGGAAGGTCAAAGATACTGCCTTGGTAGCTAGTGGGGGCTAGCAGATAGAGTGATAGGTACTGTGTTGGAGCAGCCACTGTGCTAATGGCACGAGAGCTACCTGGTATAAGATAGTGCCTAATGCAGGGCTAACAAGACACTGAACTGTGACTGAGGGGAGTCAGGCTAAGACTACAACCAGTTCCTTCCCATGGGGCTAGTGGAGAAGCAACAGGAACAGTGCTGTAATTGTCCTAGTGACAGTACCCCTGTACTCCCTTGTCTCCCAGCAGCCTTACACAAACCGCCGGCAGAACCGAAAGTGTGGGGCCTGTGCAGCCTGCCTGCGGCGGATGGACTGTGGCCACTGTGACTTCTGCTGTGACAAGCCCAAATTTGGTGGCAGCAACCAGAAACGCCAGAAGTGTCGTTGGCGCCAGTGCCTGCAGTTTGCCATGGTAGGTGGGGCAGGAAGGGTCAGATGGGCAAGATAGGTTGGACCAGGTCCCCCAAGTCCCTGGGAGTGATAGACCTGGTATGTAGGTGAGTGAGGCCAGAGGGGTCCTGCAGCCTCAGAGGAGTGCATGGGGCAATGGGTTTGGTCAGGGATTAGCAGATTTTGTGCCAGAGTAAATGAGAAATCTGGGTGGTGTTGGCATTGGTAGCAGGAGACTAGGAGGCTCAGTGATGAAGGGTTCATATGTAAGCAGATTTTGTGCCATTACTACTGGGGGGGATCAGCAGGTATGTTGGTCAGGTCATTGCATCAGGTGGCTATAACACCCCACCTTTTCTCACAGAAGCGCCTGCTGCCAAGTGTCTGGGCAGAGTCCGAGGATGGGGCAGGTTCACCCCCACCTTACCCTCGTCGAAAGAGGCCTGGATCTACTCGACGGCCCCATCTGGGCCATACCCTGAAGCATCCCTTGGGTACTCCCATAGCCCGACGAGAACATGCCCAAACTCCAATGAAGCAGGAGGCAGGCAGTGGTTTTGTGTTGCCCCCACCTGGCACTGACCTTGTGTTCTTACGAGAGGGTGCAACTAGTCCTGTACAGGTGCCTGGCCCTACTCCAGCTTCTACACAACCCCGCTTGCAGGTGAGGGCTCCACCTTATCCTGCCCTTCCCAGCCCTGTCCAGCCTTGTTCCAGGAAGCTGGGACCAAGTCTGCTGCCATCCTCCTTCACACAGGAGGCCCAGAGCCCTGGCCTGAGTTGGGTTGTGGCCTTACCCCAGGTGAAGCAAGAGAAGGCGGATGCCCACGAAGACTGGACACCGGGTACAGCCATCCTGACTCCTGTATTGCTGCCTGGCTGCCCCAGCAAGGTGGGGGTCAGTGATGGGTGATCTGTGAGCAGAGTGATGGTGAGCCATAATGATGGTTCTTTGTGCAGAGCAATAGGTGTGCTGATTGCAGCTTCTTTGCCAAATTACCCTGCCTTCCCCAGGCAACTAGCTTTGCCTGCTTTGCTGCCTAGCTAACAGAAAAATGGAAATCTGTGAGGAATGGGATGGTTTTTCTGCTGAAGTGTGATAGAAGTGGGATTTATCAGCACAGTGACAGGTTGGCCTATAGAGACTCTTTTTCTCAGGCCAACCTGCCTTTCTGACTGTTGCTCATTTCCCACCTCTCCCAGGCAGTAGACCAAGGCCTGCCACGTGTGAAGCAAGAGCCACCTGACCCTGAGGAGGACAAGGAGAAGAGCAAGGATGACTCAGCCTCTGATTCAGCCCCAGAGGAGGCAGGAGGGGCTGGCACGCCAGTGGTCAGTGCTGGGGGACACTGCACCCTGCCCTGACCCAGCTTAACCTCGCCAGCCATGTTGACCCATGATGTTAATTCTTCCCCAGATCACGGAGATTTTCAGCCTGGGTGGAACCCGCCTCCGGGATACAGCAGTCTGGTTACCAAGGTGTGCCCCGCATAGTGAGGGGTGGGGATGGGGTGGGTACCGGTCAGGTGCGGGCCTTCAGTTTTGAAAGTACAGCCAATATTTTGCCATGTGCAGTGGGAGGTAACGGCCCCATGCCACTGCACAGAGCATGATCAGTGAGGAGGTATCTAGGAGCAAACCTAGACCCTTAGAGATTTCCAGAGGTCCAGGTCAGGGCTCACTTGGGGGCAGGGAGTAGGGTGTCAGCTAGGAGGACTTGGTGTCCTGTGATGAGATTAGAAGGAAAAAAAGGCAGGAAAGCCTGGTTCCTAAGAAAAACAAGCAGGTGTCAGACTTTAAATTTTTTTTCATAGAATCATCATTTGGGGTCTTCAATGCCTTTAATGTCTCCTAGAGATGACCAGGTGGGCTGGGCTGTGGTAAGTGGGCAGGAGATCTGGCTCCACATGCTACTGTGTGATCTTGAACTAGTTCTGCACCTCCTGGAGCATCCTCTGTGGAGGGGGTTAGGCCGTTTTTCTTGAGTTTTTCCTGGGCCTGTTGAGGTTATTAACAGTTTCAGCTGCTGTGCAGAAATGTCCCTACAGGCCTGGCAAGAGGACAAAAGATAGGCGCCTTTAAGGACTGGGGTAGTGGGTGAGGGCAGGGGAATGCTGCTTCCTGCAGAATGTTAACAGGCTCTGCACAGAGCCCTAGACACAGGCAACATAAACAATTGGCCTCAGCACCTGGATTCCTTTGTTCTATAAACTAGTTTCTATAGGCTAGAAACCCCTCTGTCTGCACTTGGGCAATTACAGAGCTACTGATTTAGTCCCTGCTGCATACACTGCAGTGTGGGAGATATAGCAGTGAATACAGTGATGGTGGGAGGCTTATCCTTTAGGATTCCTGCCTTCAGGGAGCTTACAATCTAACTGGGAAACAGTTTCCCTGTGCATTACATATAATGGAGAAGGTAATGATATTCTACGTCGTTAGTAGTGGAAGATTTTAGAGAGGAGAGAAGGAATAATTAAGGGGAAGTGGACAGCCAACACATACAGAAAAAGATTTTGTGATGCTCCGTTTTGTGCCTAGCAAACCTCATTCAACATACAGACCTGCTCCCTCTTCTCTAGGTCCAAGGGCCTTAAAAAACCTGGAACTAGAAAGCAGTAGACTGGAGGCTTCCGCAGACTGTAGGATTCAAGGTGACATTTACAGACCGGCTTTATGAGAGACAACACTGATCCATCTACTCAGAGGCTGGACCATAGAACGATTGCCAGGGCTTGTGTAGAAGTCAGTAGGAACTGGAAAAACCCACCACCAAACCAGAGGAGCAGGCCTGTTCAGTCCTTTGAGCTTATAGAGGAAGCAAGCAAGAAAGGAGGAGAGAGTAGAAAGTTGGTTGGTGTATCTGCTCCAATTGGTGCAAATCCCAGAAGCCCGAGAGTGATAAGTTTGGATATTAGGGGTGGAGGAGCTGGGGTTGGGGTCGGGGGATAGAATTAGAGCCACCGTAAAACAACCTAAACAAGCCATCTTCGTAAATAATATTAAGTGGCTTCTGGGTGAGACCTGGCAGTGTCTCTAAATATTTCCTCAGGGAAACAGCATTTGAAAATGTAATGTGAATAAATAAGGAAAGGAACTGCAATTTGGTGAGTTCTTCCTTATGGACCCAGTTTATTTCTCAGAACGGTCTTTTTAGGAAGACAATGATTTTGCCCATTTTTGCAGATGGAAAAACAGACTCAGAAATTAAATAACTTGTCCAATGTCAGACAGTTAGTATTGATAGAGCCTAGAATCAAACCAGGTTGTAAAATCCCTGTTCTTTAAACCACTAACCTGTAAACTGTAATCCCAAGTTCAATGATGTAATAGTATAGTAACAGAAGTTTCCAGCGACTCTGAAAACAAGGATGAATTTGAGCATTATAACAAATCCCTTACACTGCTGTCTGGCGTGGTTTAGGGAGTGCGGAGGCTGTGTGGATGTGGTCACCTTGTCAGAGCACCTGTGCACACAGGGACTGCGTTCTTTCCAGGCCTCTGGTGTTGCGTAGGGTTCCTCAAACCCTGAAGAGCACCCTTCCCCACTGGTTGCTGCCCATTTGGTTTGTTTCCTTTACTCCTGCTCCTCAGCCAAAGTAGTCTTTTGAAGTAAAGCTCCAGCCTGGCTCATCTTTCTTGACTACTTGCATCCCCTGCCCCTTGACATTTGTGCTTGGTTTCTGTTCTCAGCTGCTCTGCTAGGAGCCTGAGTCCCCTGTCAAAGGCCAGTGTTGGCTTAGCCCTGCCTCACTTTCCAGTACTTTGCATAATGCTAAACATGATTAGACATGTGGTTCATTACCTACCAGCTTTATAGGGCTGGGACTGAGTGTGTGCCCCCTTAAATTTTGTATCTATGTCCCTCCCCTGCCTTATTCCAGTTCCAGCCCTGCAGCTTTAGATAATTCACATGTATATTAACCATTCCCCTACCTTAACTCATGAGTCCTCTGGCCCTTCCTTTGCCTGTTCTTACCTACTTCAGCCAGAGCCCACTGGATAATTTTCTGCTATTTTGCTCTTCCCAGGATCCAGCCACCCAGCCCTAGTATTCTGGTAATTTTGGCAATGATGTCCTAAGTGAAATTATTTGATTGGTATTCTGACTGATGAGATAAGAGTCTGGTTACCATGTGTATCAGGGTACAATTAGAAAAGCAGCACCACTAATATAAAGATTTTATATATATGTATGTATGTATATTTATATATATGTATATATGTATATTGTTCTACGGGATTTATTATAGGGATTTCACCATATGCAATTGTGGGAGCTGGTTAAACAGTCTCTGTAAGGCTTTCGTCTTCGCATCTAATGTTGGAGCTTGAAGTGTGTAGGGCAGGCAGTTGGGATGGGAACATGGATATAAAGTGTGGGAGACGGAGGACACATTGGCACCCACAAGCAGAAGCTGGACACCCCTCAGATGGCCTGGAACCCCTGTCACTGTCTCACCACCTCCAACTTCGATGATGTGGGTGTCCACAAGTGGAAGAAGCTGGTGCCTTTCACCAGAGTTAAATATGCATCTGGCCTAAGAATTTGAGAACCTGAAGGAAGATCCTGGGGAAGGTGGGGCAGCTGCAGACCCATACCTCTAAGGTGAGCCAGCAGATAGATGACAACGTGTGAACTGCAGCAGTGCCTGGTGTCCCCACTCCACACTTCAAAGTATAAAAACAGCATTCTACTGCTTCACTTCTGCCCTCCAGTTAGCATGTAAAATGTTTCTTGTGGCTCATCCTAACTGGAAGCATACAGGGAAGGGAGTTCTGGGAAAATAGGACTAGTCAAGGTGACACATCACAAAGCCACCCTGCGTGAATCAGCTCCCAAAGGGTCTCACTACTCACCTGAGGATAACTTGATAAAGCTACAGTGGAAAGTGGAAGACCATGGATTTCATGGTGACCCCAGCAAGTGCAGAAATTCTGTTGAGCCCACCCATTAAAAACACAGGTCTCAGCTTTCTGTCATGCAAATACTGAAAATGGGCCTGTTGTAGGCTCTAAACTTAATACTGGGGTTCAGGAATGAGAAAGATACAGTCCATGCAATTTTATTGAATACATCAATATGTATTAGAAATGGTGAATGGATTTCCAACTTTAATGGAATTTAATGGTGAAAATACAGAATTCAGGAAACAATCAGGACAGCCCTTGTGTGAACCTTGTTGGGGCATAATAGGAATTGGAAATCATAGTTTCTGTCTCTAAACTGTTTAATTTTAAAATTATTTTAAAATGATTTTTATTGTCCCATTTACTGATTCATACATTTAGTGTTTCTTTTGGGAAATGTCTTGATGACGTTAACAGTGTTGACTGCCTCTGAAAAAGTGGAGTAGTGGGTGGCAAGATAAAGGTCAGGTTGTCCAAGGACTTTGGGCAAATCATTTCTTTTAGGCCTCCGTGGGGTTTTGGCTGAAGGCCAAGGCTTACCTTTCCAAGTGAGAAGCCTGGCCCCTCCACTCTCTGAAGAAGCCCACCAGGTGCATGGGAACCACAGTCTCACCTGGGCTTAGGAAACACTGCCCTCCATCCCTGGCCTGGGCGGTCCAGGGCGGTGGCCTCAGCCAAGCCTAAGAGAAATCGACTCCCTTCATTTAAACAGTGGTGAAACCAAGCAAAACCGAACCGGAATTAAATTGTGGGGCTTGCCCAGGGTGAGGATGCAGCACAACAAGCTCTGGGCCAACGCTGGGGATGTAAGGGCACCCAGGTGTCTTCCAGGGGCAGCTTCCACTGTCGCCAAAACTCATTTTGACAGGACCCTCTGGGTTGCACAAGCTCAGGGGTGCCCTGTAGGTGTCCCTGAATCTCAGTGACTTTTCTCAAACACCAGTGCCTCACTGAGCACGTTTTCATTACCTCCCTTCCTGGAGTGTGTTGGGTGGTTCCACCCAGACCAGCTGGTGGGCCGGGCACCTGTAGGACTTCAAGGAACCGGCTGGCCCTCAGGATTCCATCCAGGGAGAACCAAGATGACCATCTAATTTCTTTGTTTCAGGCTATGTAAACTTAGCAGTAAATAAAAATGAGCATTTTACTGAACTGCAATTGGAAGAAGCAGCATTATAGGAGAAAAAAAACAAAATTATTTAAAAGATTATTAAAGGAGAAGAAACTTTGTGGCTGAAAAGCTGAACCAGCATTTCAGGAAATTAAATCTAGAAATGTACCATGTTAAAAATCTGAAGTGGGTGGGTTACAAATGTAACCACTAATATACAGTAAATCGCAACCTTAACATGGTGTGCACAGTAGTTGTACTTCAGTGGTTACACGCAGTGACTGACTAGGTACTGCTTTTTTCTGTGCTCTGTACTTGCCCCCACTTAAGAGAGTGGCAAAGTGTGATTATTGGCTTCAAGGTATCAACTGCTGTTGACTGGAATTATAGCAGTGGTCTCCACCTGTGCTGAGGGCCCCTCTAGGTTCCGTGTCTGGGACCCGGATTCTCAGGGCCTGTTTATCTGCATTTCTGATCCATGTGTCCTCACCTAGGTCCACTGTGGTCCTTGACTGGACTGCTAGTTTCTGCTGTGCCCAGCCATTGGTATCCTTACGCTGCCAGCTGTCCCATTTGTCTGCCCTCCCCACCGTAGAGTGTCCCAAGTCTAAGCCCTGGTTTCTACCCAGTGCAATATGATTTTATTAATAAGAGATTTATCATTACTGGTGGGGGAGGCTGACAAGGCAGTTAGGTTCTTAGCATTGTCTTAGCTGTAAAATGATAGTGACCTGCTTTTCCATTAACCTATATTTGTGAGTCTCAAACATTTCGTGTGAAAATGCCTTGCAAATTACTCTAAAGAACTAAAAAACATGGAAGATGGTTTTGTGATGGTTTACATTACCAAGATTAACCCAGACATGGTCACAAAATTTAATAACCTTTTCACAAAATGCCCTTTAAACTGATTTCAGGACTTAAGTAGCAAAGTCAAATGGAATGTTACTAGATCTTCAACTTCACTTCGGGTAAAGGAGGCTTTTTTCTGCCTTTCTGATGAACCTTAGAGGAAGAGGGCGAGGTCGTCGGGAGGCTTGAGCGAGGGCTGAGGGAAAAGCGGACTCGGCCTCCCTGAGTCCCAGAGGAAGTTGCAAGTGCCGCGTTCATGGTCGCCATAGCGACGGAACCAACTTCCGCTCCACCCACTACTTCCCCCCTCGAGGCGCACCATGACAACCAGACTCCTGCGTTGCGGAAGCTAGGACTTAGGTTACTACGGTTAGGGAACCGTGGCAGATATCACCGCCACTCTGAAGGCGCTCGAGAATGTACAGCCAGCGGTTTGGTATCATACAGCGGGAGATTAAGGGCCCCACTCCCAAAGCGGTGATTGTGGTAAGCACGAAACGTGGGGTGGGGGGTAGGGACCTCCGCAGGACCATGCCACTTTCTGCATCCTCCTGCACTCCGGGCCCAGTCGAGTGAACCTGACCTCCAGCAGGGGCTCTCTCAAGGGTAGCATGTGCCTGATGCAATGGAGATGAGTTATGAAAGGAAGGATAAGGTCGCTTCCATACTCTGTCTTTCCCCACCCCTCTCAGCCTCCTTCTCCCCTGTGTCAGTTATAATATTTAGATTCTGTGTTTGGAGAGGAACTCCTTGGGATCTTGAGGGTTTTCAGTCTCCAAGACACCCGAAGGCAGTCATCCCTTGCGACGTGGTGTGTATGTTACCAGAAGGGATGCTGGGCCAGGCGGCAGGAAATCAGATCTGGGTTGGTGGTGATTCATCTGTACAATCTTGGGTTGGTCTTGCAGCCCTAGGAAAACCATCTGTGGGAAGGGTGTTGGCCTTTGAAGGGTTCTGAGTGGTTATTATGGTGCCCTTCCTGTATGAACTCAACTGTAACAGAAGTGTCCCCGCAGGCCTGAATGGCATTAGGACTGTTTGTTGTCTGGAAGGCTGGGGTGGTCACAGGCAGCTAGAGGAATGCTGCCTGTTGCAGAATTTGATGGATCCTGCACAGAACCCCAGGCACTTGGTCCGTGCACCTGTATTTCAACAGGCTAGAAAAGTTCCACGTGTAATTAGGCAACTGTAAGGGTATTATTGCCTATTCCTGTTGTGTGCAGCACCAGTGGGAGATACAGGTGTGAATACAATGGCTGTGGGACATTTACCCTTCAATAGAAGTATGTTCCCTGCCTTCAAGTCGCTTATTATCTAACTGCAGAAACAACTTGCTCATGAATAAAACCACTAAAAGTTCACAGTAGGTAATGATTGACATGCTATAGTCTGTGATGGCACTTTATGGAAGAAAGATCAGGATAATGAAGGATATAGTTTTATGTTCCATGGTGCACATAGCAATTCTCAGCCAATTTATTTAATTATTAAAAAGGTTTTACTTATTTATTTTTAGAGGAGAAGGGAGGGAGAAAAACATCAAGTAGCTGCCTCTCGCATGTGCCCTACTGGGGACTGAACACACACGACCCAGGCACGTGCCTTGACTGGGAATCCAACCAGGGACCTTCACTTTGCAGAATGACACCCAACCAACTGAGCCACACTGGTCAGGGCAATTCTCAGTCAATTTAAAGACCTGCTCCCTTTCCTCTAGGTCCAAGAACTGTAGGATTAGGTCTAGAAATCAGGGAACTGGAGTTTTCTACAGACTGTAGGATTCAAGGTAATGATTACAGACAGGTCTCATGAGGGACAGAAATTTATCTACTTTGGGTTCATATCCGAACACAGAGCTCAGGGCTGGTGCCGTCCATTGCTTGTGTTGGAAACTAGTAAGGATTTCTGTTCCACCAGATTACGACCAAACCAGAGAAGCAGGCCTGTTTAATGCTTTAAGCTTAGAGAAAAATAAAAAAGAGGTTGGCGTCAGTGCGTCTCAGATGTCAGAGTGTGGTACATGTAGATGTTAGAGTGGAGGAGTGGTACTGGGAGAAGAATAGGAGCCACCAGACCTGAGACTCGGGTGCCAAACAACTCCTCCAGGAAACAGCCATAAAAGATGTGATGTCTGGAGTCATAGAGAAGTGAGATGAGCCACAGTTTGGTGAGTGCCTCCTAGGTACCCAGTTATTCACTTCTCAAAGTAGTTTTTTAGGAGAACATTTATTTTGGCCCAGAATCAAACCTGGGATATAAAACATTGTTCTTTAAGACATTAAATTGTAAATCATAATGCTAGAAACTATAATGTGAGCTGTTACAGTAACAAAAACCTGCAGTGACCTTGGAAATACAAGGTAGTTATATAATTCTTTGCTTTCTTGCCTTTAGCATGGTGTAGAGTCCCATGTCCATACATGGCTTTTGAGCACTTGAAATATGCCTAGAGTCACATGTTGAAGTGATCATATTTTGGATATGCTGGTTAAATAAAATATATTGTTAAAATTTCCCCTGTTTCTTTTCACTTTTTATTTTAACTTTATTGGTTTTTTAAAATATTTTATTTATTTATTTTTAGAGGGGAAAGGGAAGGAGAAAGAGTGGGAGAGAAACATCAATGTGTGGTTGCCTCCAATGTGTCCTCCAATGGGGACCCGGCCTGCAATCCAGGCATGTGCCCCAACTGGGAACCGAACCAGCGACCCCTTGCTTCACAGGCTTGCGCTCAATCCATTGAGCTACACCAGCCAGGGCTTAACTTTATTGTTTAATTATGGTTTACATTCAATGTTATTTTTTGTATTAGTTTCAGGTGTTTTTTTACTTTTTAAAATGCAGCTACAAGAAAATGTGAAATTACAGATGTCTCACATTGTATTTCCATTAAACAGTGCTGGTTTTGACTTATGACTGTGCATGGATTGGCACCTTCTTGTTAGAGAGCTCCAGACCGCACCTCATTCACCCAGAGGCTGGTCCTTCCCGACCACAGGCCCCTGTGCGCCCCGAGCTGAAAGAGCTTCCTGATCTCCGGCCACTGCTCAGGCTGTTTCTCACCACCACCCTGTAACCCCATTCTTCTCTTTAGTTAAAATGTACCTCAGAGCCTGGTTTTTAGAAAAAAATATTTTATGTATTCATTTCTCGAAAGAGGGGAAGGGGGGAATAAAGAGAGGGAGAGAAACATCAGTGTGTGAGAGAAACACTGAACAGATGCCTCTTGCACACCCCCAACCAGGGACCTGGCCTGCAACCTGACTGGGAATTGAATTGGTGACATTTCAGTTCACAGGCTGGCACTCAACCCACTGAGCCACACCAGCCAGGGCAGAGCCTGGTTCTTGACCTGGTGACTCAAAACCATTGATTTCTAATGACATTGGTGCTCAGTTCCTGTTCTGAGTCTGCAAGTCTACTGGGAGCCTGAGTTCCTGTGTGTATCCCACCCAAGGTGCAGTCTCGACCCTGCTCTGATTTGGTGTCACTGAACCTGCATTTGTAAAACGTACTGCCCTGACTGGTGTGGCTCAGTGTTTGGGCATCATCCCACAAACCAAAAGTTTGCTGGTTCGATTTGTGGTCAGAGCACATGCCTGGGTTGCAGGTTCAGCCCCTGGTTGGGGTGCATATGAAAGGCAGCTGAATGATGTTTCTCTCTGGTGAAAATTTCTCACCCTCTCTCCCTTCCCCTCTCTGAAAATAAATAAAATCTTTAACAAGTGTTATGCCTGTTAGATAACAGTAATTTTTTAACTGGCTCCAGACTCTAAATAACCCTGAAATGGATTAGCTCCTTCCCATGACATAACCCCAAATGTCATCTTCTGTCTTCAACACACCTCTGCCTTGCCTTGTCCTTTCCACTAAATCTAGGTATCTACACGTGTACCCTGACCCTGAATCTCTTCATCAAGCTGTCTCCAGATGTTGATTTTCTTTCCCCAGGAGACCCCCTTACCAACACCCAATCCCATATTTTGGTAATTCTGACAGTGAGGTTCTCCTAAGTGTGAGTGATCAGATTGACTCTCTGCCATGAGTGAAGAGCTCTGTGACTGTGAATCAGCACCTCAGAGCTTCACCACTCACAGAAGGCTGACTTGATTAGCCTGGCTGGAAAGGCAAAGCTCAAGGCCATGGATGTAATGGTGGCTCTAGGAGGAGCAGAGATTGCATCGAGCCCACCCAGAAATACTGTCTTTCCTTCCTGTCATTCAGACTGAGAACCTGATAGTGGTAGGTATCATGTTCAATGCTAGGAATACAGCAATGAAAAAGATAGAGTCCATGTGATTTTATTAAATGTATCACTATATATTCAAAATGGTGTATGCATTTCCAACTTTTGAGTGGATATTTGTAAAAAATGAACATATTTATAGAACTTCAAGTTACCCAAAATGTCAGGGACATAGCCTGTGCATTAAACTTCTGGGCACCACAGAAATAGAAATGAAGTTCTACTACCAGCTTTGCTTTTCTTTTTTACTTTTCTTTCTTCCCTTTCTCCTTCCCTTGCTTCCTCCTCACAACTCGTTTGGTACACAACCTACATACAGTTGACCCTTGAACAACACAGGTTTGAATTGCATGGGTCCTCTCATACATAGATTTTTTTCAATAAATACTCATACTATTTTTGATTCAGTTGGGAGTCAAGGGATATACAGGGCCAACTGTATGCATTAAGCTACATTATTTTATATAGGGGACTAGCATTCATGGATTTTGGTATTAGGAAGGTGGGCCCTGGAACCAATTCCCTGTGGATACTGAAAATTTTAAATTTGGGGAAGTCAAGTTCTATGTGGATTTTTGACTATGTGGGGGGGGTGCCCCTAACCCCTATATTGTTCAAGGGCCAACTGTACTTAGTAGCCTCTTTTAATTGAAAGTGTTTTGATGGTGGTAACTACGTTGTCTGCCCTTGAAAATCAGTGGGATACTGAATGGCAAGATCAAGGTGAGGAATTGGAAAACCTCTAATTCTTGTTCTATTCAGGTCTGTTCCAGTTATTTGAAGCACCTTGGGCAAATCATTTAATGCCTATAGTTTGGCCAAATAATCTGTAGACTCCCATTCAAATATTTTACTTTATAATCCCATGAACTTTTACTCAGAACATGAGAAATATTTCAGACTGATTTCACAGCCTTTTAGATATAGACTCAAAGAATCAAGCAGGTTACACCTGAGGCACTTAAACTTTGCAGTTGTAACAGGGTGTATTAGTTTATTTTTTCTTTTTTATCACATTTTTGCCATTGGCATTTAGCCCCTTTATAACCCCATCCCCTGTATTAGTTTTATATACCAAGTTCTATTTAGTATGAATATTGATGGAGGTCATGATTAATTGAAAAGATGCTATTGGCCCTTCCTCGTGTGGCTCATTGGATTGATTGACACCCAGTGAACTGAAAAGCTGCCAGTTCAATTCCCAGTCAGGGCACATGCCTGGGTTGCAGGCCAGGTCCCCAGCTGGGGGCATGCGAGAGGCAACCAATTGATGTATCTCACTCACTGATACTGCTTTGCCTTTCTCCTTCTCTTCCCCTCTCTCTAAAAGTTAATAAATAAAATCTTTTAAAAATATTCTTGATTTTGGATCTATCAAAAGTGATAGTTGTTATTTGTTTTCAGAGAGCCAAGCCTCCCCAAGGCCAAAGGGTTGAGCAACATCTTGAAAGAATCCGACGCAACTATCAGAAACATCAGGCTGTTTTGGATTCCATTAAGTCAATAGAGCGGGATCGCTTGAGAGTTGACTGGCACCAGCACAGTGACCGCAAATTTGTGAAGAGTCTTGTGAAAGCCAGAGTCAAGGATGCCGCACAAGGGTTTATCATCAACACCGAAGAAAGACGAAATAAGTAAGGCTTACAAACCTGATGGCCAAGACTTTGAAATAGCCCTAAAACCACAGCTTGAGATCAACCAATCAAAAAAATTTAAGTGAATTCTACAGTGAGGATCATGGCCAAGATCTTCATATTCCTGCCAAATCAATAATTATATTTTCACTTGTAATACCTACATCATTATAATAGCAAAAGAATAACCGCTTTATATTTAATTCACATCTGCTCATTATTTCTTTTGTTGAAGATGCACAGTACGTATCTCATCTGTGTGGGGTCAGGTAAAACACAGCACAGATCAGTCTGTTCATTGCTCTGAATGGCAGCCGATTTTCTTTTATGGAAGATTGCATTGGTCTTTTTCTTCTTCCAAAACTTATAAACATGAACTTCTGAAATCAAATTTAACATAATAAAAATTAGTAAAATGGTACATGTGGCATCACAGTTTTTTTGTTTGTTTGTCATTTTGTTTCAGGCTCCGTGAGCTTTTAGCATCTGAAGAAAATAAGTATTTTGCTGAAATACGATTGAAAGAAGAAACAATTGAGGAGAGAAAAGATAGAATGAGAGAGAAAATCAAATTATTAAAGGAGAAGAAAGAAAAAGAGAGACAGGATTTTGTGGCTGAAAAGCTAGACCAGCAATTCAGGTATTGATGTCAGAGAAACACGCACACAGAATCTGGGGACTGAAAAGGATATGGGAGCCCTGGCTGGTGTGGCTCAGTGGATTGAGCACCGGCATGCAAACCAAAAGGTGGCAAGTTCAATTCCCAGTCAGGGCACATGCCTGAGTTGCGGGCCAGCTTTCCAACTGGGGGCATGTGAGAGGCAGCCACACATTGATCTTTTTCTCCCTCTCTTCTTCTCTTCCCCTCTGTCTAAAAATAAAATAAAATCTTTAAAAAAGAAAAAGGATTTGGCCAGGGTGGTTCAGTTGGTTGGAATGTCATCCTGTAGACCAAAAGGTTGTGGGTTTGATCCCTAGTCAGGGCACATACCCAGGTTGCAGATTCGACGGTCCCGGGTTGGGGTGCGTACAGGAGTGCAACCAATCAATGTTTCTGTGTCATATGGATATCTCTGTCTGTCTCTCTCCCTTCCTCTCTAACGTGATGAAAAAAGTTTTCAGATAAAGATAAAAAATAATAATAAATAAAAATAAAAAGATTTAGGAGTGCTAATTTACAGTAAAGTGTAGCCTTAACAGGGTATAGCCGGTGGTTGTGTTTTTAAATCTTGGGAATTATATATGTATCATTGTACAATGCAGCACTGAGGGGTTTTGTTTCATTTTGTCTTAAGAACACTTAAGATTTACTCTCAACAAATTTCAACTATATGATACGGTGTTATTGCTTACAGTTACCACACAGCACAGTAGATTCCCCAGAACCTACTCATCTTCTGACTCAAAGTTTGTGCTCTGTGACCAACTTCTCCCCTTGCCCCCTCCCCCGTCCCTGGGGAACACGCACGCTGCACTCTGCTTCTACGTGTTCAACTCTTTGTTTTGGGTTTTTAGACTCCGCGTGGAAGCAAGACCATATGCTCTTTGTCTTTCCCCGTCTGGTTTGTTTCATTTAGTGTAATGTCCTCCAAGCTCATTCATGCAGGTGCCATGTTGAAAAAAGTGGGAGGGGTGGGCACCTTGTTTCCTTCCTGACTTTGGAGGAAAGGCCTTCAGCTTCCCACAGTTGAATGTAATGGTCACCGAGGACCTGTCACACGTGGCCTTATTGGGTTGAGCTGCATTGCGTCTCTACCTAATATGTTGAAAGTGTTTTTTATCATGGATTTGTCAAATGCTTTTTCTACACCTATTGAGATTATCATATAATTTTTACCCTTCCTTCTGTTAAGATGGTTATCACATGCATTGATTTGCATATGTTTAATCATTCTTGCATCCCAGAAATAAATCCCTCTTGACCATAGTATATGATCTTTTAATGTGCTCTTCAATTCAGCTTGCTAGTATTTATTGCATCCGTGTTCATCAGGGATATTGGCCTGCAATTTTCTTTTCTTGTAGTATCCATGTCTCCAGCTTTGGTGCCAAGGTAGTGCTGGCCTTGTAAATGAGTTTGGAAGTGTTCTCTCTTATTTTGTTTCTTGGAAGTGTTTGCAAAGGATTGGTATTATTATTGAGCAGCTTAACAAAAAAGGAGTGTCACTTAGGCTGTCAGGGCACCGAGTATGAGTGTAGCAGGTGTACATGGTATTACTCTAGGTCAGGAACAGAGTGGTCCAAGATAAAGGAAAATGTAAACTCTGAGTTTACAGGAGAAAACAAAAGGAATATAAGAGGTCATCCTTTTAAGATATTTTATTTATTTATTTTTAGACAGAGGGGAAGGGAGGAAGAAAGGGAGAGAAACATTAATGTGTGGTTACCTCTTGTGCATCCCCACCTAGGGACCTGGCCCAAAACCCCAGGCGTGTGCACCTGACTAGGAATCACACTGGCGACCCTTTGATTCACAGGCTGGTGCTCAGCCCACTGAATTGCACCAGCCAGGGCTATAAGAGTTCATTTTTCACGGCACATGAAATTTGAATAGGTGAGAAATCTGAAGGTCAACAGATGTGAGAAAGAAACAAAACCAAGCGTGTGGAGGGATCAAGACTTACGGTTCAGAGATAAAGCTTTTCCCATCTCCTCTCTCTCTGCCGTGAAGTTGCTCCTAATTACGTAGACTGCCCTAAATCCTCCTAGTAGAGACCCAAGAGGGGATATTGCAGTGAGTAGTGCATGCAAATTGCAGGTTCAGCTGCTAACAAGGTAAATTAGATGGCTAAAACTAGAGGGAATGGGAAGTTTCAGGGCTTGGGGAACTGCTAACGAAGGCCAGGGAAGAAAACCAGAGTGGAGCAGTAATGCCTACGACCAGAAAGCCTTGCTACTCCACATCTTGCAGATGGGTAATTTAAGTTCCGAAGATATGAATTTTACTAGGTTTCCAACCTTGTAGTAACGAAACCAGGATTAGACTTGGATTTTCTGGCCTTTCTGAAGTTTGGCCTCGCCTCCTGTCCTTGGTAGGGCTCGGACACTCCCTCCTGGCTGCTGGAGAAGATGCTGTGAGGGACAAAGGGGACACTAGCAAACGAATTGCAATGGGCCATTCTTTATTTCCCTAGTGGCTGGTGATGTTGAACAACTGTTCGTGTGCTTATTTGCCATCTGTATGTCATCCTCTTTGGTGAAGTGTCTCTTTATGTCTTTTGCCCATTCTCTAGTTGGATTAGCTAATTAAGTTTGGAGAGTTCTTTATGTATTCTGGATATGAGACCTTTGTGTGGGATATGTGGTTTAGAAATATATTTTTCTAATCTGTAGCTTGTTTTTTTAATTCTCTTAATAGGGTGTTTCACAGAGAAAAACATTTTAAGTTTGATGAAATCCACTTTATCAATATTTCTTTTATGTACCATGCTTTTGGTACACTGTGATTTTCTTTTTTAATGTCCTATATTTATACATAATTAGTGATTGGATCAACCACAGACTAAGGTAGACAGTTTTTGGCTTTGTTTTGTTTTGGGATTTTTTTTGTTAAACAAATACCCTGAGATGAATGGTCAGAACTCTTGAGGGTAGTCTCGTCTTTTTTAATGACTGGCAGAGGTGATATAATGAAGAACCAAAGAACCTAAACTCTAGGGCCAGCCTGCCAGGTTTTCTCTCCCATGCTTATCACATACGAAATGGATGAACTTACCTATGATGCTTAATTGCTCTGTGCCTCCTTTTACTTATCCGTAAACTGGGGGTGATATAATGATGAAAATGAACTTACAATAATGTTCACTGCAACACTGGCTCTTAACGAAGGTTATGAGAGTCCATATGTGTAAAGTGCTTAGGACAATGCCTGGCAAATAAAAACTCAGTAACTTGCCAATAATGTTACTGCCGCAGGTCATGTGGTTTAGGAAGACACAGGCTCCTTGAGTTTTGATTGCTCCAACTCTGAAATGGGGAGAGTACTTGCTGCTGTGTCTAAGTTATAACGTACTCACGAGGATAAAGGAAGATTTTACATGTGAAAGTATCACGTAAAGCACTCAAAAACAAAAAGTTGTCCTCTTTATCAATAATATTTGATGCAGGGAGATAGCTATTCTACCTATCAAATGTTATTGATAAACAGAGAGCATCCCTCAAGGGTTCCTAAGGTTAAGTGAATAGGTGAATCAGTAGAATGTTGGCAGAAAATGCTCGATGTTTATTTTTATCTTTTTTTAATTTTAATTTTTTGCATATATTTAATAACTTGTGTTATAGTAACAACTGCATACAGTTTATAAATAATAATCATATTCATGGGTACTTAGAAATTTTTTTACTGAAAGGGGTACATAATCAAAAAAGTTTGAAAAGCTGTTGATCTGAAGACATAGTTGATATGGGCACCTTTATATAGTGTTATTTCAGGCTTTTTCAGCAGCAGGCATCAACTGCTTAGTGTTTTTGTCGTCTGATTTTATAGTAAGGAAGGGAATGATCTTAAGGAAATCATCAGAGATAAGCAGAAAGAGGTACATTTAAGAATATTCTCTGTACCCTGGCTGCTATAGCTCAGTGGATTGAGCATGGGCTGCAAACCAAAGGGTTGCCAGTTCAATTCCCAGTCAGGGTACATGCCTGGGTTGCGGGCCAGGTCCCCAGTTGGGACCATTTGAGAGGCAACCACACAGTGATGTTTCTCTCCCTCTCTTTCTCCCTCCCTTTCCCCCTCTCTATAAATAAATAAAATTTAAAAAAAGTATGTTATTACAATGTTATAATAGAAGTCAGAAGTAACCTATATGACCCTGGCTGGGTAGGTCAGTTGGTTAGAACATCATCCCAATATGCCAAGGTTGCAGGTTCAATCCCTGGTCAGGACCGATACAAGAATCAACCAATGAATGCATAAATAAGTGGAAGAACAAATCAATATTTTTCTATCTCTCTAAAACCAATAAATAAATTTAAAAAAGGAAGTAACCTATGTGTTCATCAAAAAAGATGTATCAGTAAAGCATGATATGTTCATAGGTTCCAGTCTATATTACACAGCTTAGTAAACTAGTAAGTTTTTGAAGTCAGGAATTATATTTAAGAATATCTCCTGAGAAAACATTTTTTAGTACCTTCTTTTTTTTCTTTATTGTTTATACTTTTACAGTTGTTCCCACTGTTTTCCCCTTTGCCCACCTCCACCTAGCCCACACCTGCTGAGGAAACAGTTTTATTTCCTTAGGATTTTGTTTATTTATTTTTAAAGGGGAAGAGAAGGAGAAAGAGAGGAAGAGAAACATCAGTGTGAGAGAGAAACGTCAATTGGTTGCTTCTCATATGCGCCCCAACCAGGGGCTGAACCAGCAACCCAGGCATGTGCCCTGACTGGGAATGGAACCCGCAGCCTTTTGCTTTGTGAGATGATGTCCAAGCAACTGAGCCCATCAGTCAGGGAGGAAACATTTCTAATATAATATTAGGTAGAAAAATTGAGATACAAGGAGATATTGGTATAGATGTACAATTATACAGAACAACCCCAGTTCTACTAAAAACGCACACATACAAGATTGGAAAGAACTACTAATACTCTTAATAGCAGTTATTTCTTGGTAGTGGAATTAAGTCTTTTTAGTGTCTTCATACTTTTTATGTTTATGTTTTTCAGTTTTTCTGTAATGAACATGTATTAGTTTTGTATTTAGGAAGAAGGAGATTATTCTCCTTAAAAGCACAAATATAATAGGCCGTACTCGTTATTCTTAGGTCTTAGATTTTTATTATTTATTTATTTTACATTTTTTAAATTTTTCAACTACAGTTTACATTTAATATTATTTTGTGTTAGTTTTGGATGCACAGCATGGTGGTTAGATAATCGTGTACTTTACAAAGTGTCTCCCTCAAGTTTCCAGTACCCACCTGGCACCATACATAGTTACTGCAGTATTATTAACTTTATTCCCTGTGCTGTACTTTGTATCCCCATGACTGTTTTGTAACTACCAGTGTTTACTTCTTCATCTCTTCAACTTTTTCACCCAGTCCCCTAAGTCCCCTCCCCTCTGGCAACCATCAATCTGTTTTCTGTGTCTATAAACCTCTGTCAATTGTGTTTGTTTGTTTCTTTATATTCCACATATAAGTGAAATCATATGGTATTTGTCTTTCTCTGACTTATTTCACTGAACATAATACCTTTGCGACCATCTATGCTGTCACAAATGTTAAGATTCTGATAGAATGTTTAGACTCTGATAGAATTCTGGTAGAATTTTACCGATGAATTTCAGACAAAGGAATTAATTTTTCAATGTTCAAGTGTTTTGTTTTGTTTGATAACCTAGTGTTTTCAGCTTCTGTTATCTCTTGAGCCTTAGGTAACCGGTAGTGATCATTAATGTTCCTAAAAGTCTTGACCATATATCAGTTAAACCAACAATTATTTATTGGGCATTGGGTAGGTAATATGGGGTATATATTCCTGAAATATAGTCCTTAGTCTCAGCACTCAAGCGAATCCAGTTTATGTAGGGAAATGAGATAAGTCCTCATCAAATGGTGAACAGTATTCAACAGTATTTGATAAATGTCAATTTGTGAGGTATTGATCAGTCTTGCAATGAGAGTTTAGATGTCTGTCTTTCAGTCCTAGAGATTAAAATTTCATCAGAATTTCCATGTTGAGCCTGTTCTCCAACTCCAGCTTCTTGGTGCTGAATTTGATTTAGAGACCAGGAAGGCTTGATACTTACAAACTTTGCCTTCAGTTGGGTCCTTACGAGCCGGCTGTGAGCCAGAGCCTCCTGCACGCTCTGAAAAAGTGCAGCGGAAGCCGGCGTCCTACCCCCAGGTGCTCTGATGTAACCAGTCTGGCCTGGGAGTAGGTGGGGAAGAAGTGGGGGTTTTCAACGCATCTCTCAGTAATTCTAAAGTGTAGACATTGCTGACTCTCAGGGGGCTCAATGAAGAACTTTTGAAGAAATGGAGTTACTGAGACTGAAAGAAAGGGTGAGGTCTGAACACATATGGAGAGAGCGTTTCTTCCTGAATGGTGAGAGAAGCCTGAGTGTGAAAAGGCCGCTCTGGCAGAGACCCCTTCAGTGGACGTGCACCCGCCAGGGGTCCAGGGGCCACGGGGAAGCTCCACAGCGATACGCGCCTCTGCCCTCGGGTCTTTCCGCGGATGTGCACGTGGGGTCTCTTCCTGCCAAAGCTGAGTGGACCCACCTCTCTGCTATTTCCTCCACAGTAATAATCATGGTTACCATTTATTGAACTCTGGTTATTCATTCATCAGGCATTTACATCCATTATCTCTGACACTTAACAGAACCTTAAAAGACAGTTGTTTTGCAGATTTAAAAACAACAGGCTCAGATAGGTCAAGTTTTTGATCCAAGGTCACACAGGAAATGTCAAAACTAGATTTCAAAGCCTGTGCTGTCCTACCCAGTGCCGGTATTTTGTCTGTGACGTCGTGGTACCTGCCTCCCGGCTGCTCCCTCACATATTTTCTCTGCTCGGACAGCCTGCATCCAGATCCTTTACTTTTCTTCTTCAGTTTCTGACTGTTCAGACATGCGCCCAAATAGAGCTGTGTCTCATGGAAGACTTGATTTTGTCCTTTTAAAATTCCCCTTTCAGGGAACGCTGTGAAGAGCTCCGCGCCCAGTTGTCTTGTATCCATGAGAAGAAGGTGTGCGAGGAGCGGAAAGCACAGATTGAATTTAACAAGGAGCTGAAAAGGCAAAAGCTGGTAGAAGAGGAGATGTTCTCAAAGCTCTGGGAGGAAGACCGATTAGCCAAGGAACAGCGAGACAGCGAAGAGGCGAGGAGACAGAAAGAGCTGGTGGAGAACACACGCCTGGGGCTGAATGCCCAGATCACCGCCATCCAGGCACAAAGGCTGGCGGCGCGGCAGCTGGAGGAAGAGGAGGCACGCCTTGTGGTGGGCCTTCTAAAATGCCTGTCCTGGGGTGATCAGCTGGGGGGGTGTGGGGCGCACTTAGCAGGCCTGTTACTGTCCCGTTTGCCTAAAGGCCTGGGCTGGTTCACAGGGCAACACAGGAGCCTTGGGCTTTGCGGCCCAGCTACCTCATTACATGGGGCAAGTTACTGAACTACTGTGTCTCAGTTGCTCTAGAAAAATGGGACAAAAGGCAGTTGTTTGGTGGGGGGAGGATGACATGGGACGATCATTGGCAGTGCTGTGGAGGACTGGTGACAGTGTGGCCCGCATCCGCTGTTCTTTAATCTGTAAATTGACACTTTCCAAATCCCGTGAAGAAGGGTTGTACAACAGCCACTGTAACCCTCTGGTCTCTAAAGTCAGTAATTTTGTTCCAACAAGACTGTTGCTGCCCCAGCTGCAGCCATTTTCAACCAGGGCACTGCAAGAATCTGTAAAACGTGCAACACCTGACTATTTAGTTACGGGCACTGACCTTTTTTCCCCTAGACTGTCAAAGAAAAAATGATAGCAGTCAACACAGCAATAGCCCTCTGGTGTGAATGAATCAAAATTATATCTGTTTTTTGTCAGATCAGTAAAAAACATTTTTGATGTGCTGCAGAATTTTAATTTATGTACCAGGAGATGAAACAGGGTGAAAATCACTCCCCTACTGTACAGAAATTAGAGTTTCCACTGAAAATGTGTGAAAGCACTTTAAAAAGTAGCAATTTTATATGATGTGTATAAAGCTGTCAACAACTGATATGTTATTACCACTAAATTTAGGAAAAAGTTATTATCTTTCTGGGAAACCCTAAGTTTTGAAATTTGGAACCATAAAAAAAGTCAAAGGAAAGCTAGAAGCCTTCTTGGGGTTTCAGATGGTTTTCTTTTGACATGTTTACTAGAAGATGTCTAAATATTTCAGCTCCTCTGAGGAAATCAAACTGGTGGCCCCCCTGCTGCCTCGTAGACCTGCCCTCTGGCATCAGACACCTAGGGACCCATTTTCGGATACCACATGTGTGTGGTTTTCTCTTGCGTCACCAATTCTCTGATTCTGTGTGGACAGCAGCAAGGCACCCTATGCTTTGATTCTGTCCTCACACATCCAGAGGTGGTGCCAGACTCAACAGGCTTACAGGCTCCATCTCCCAAGACTGCTAGTCATGAGTGGGGGGTCCCCAGGTTACCTGTACTTCCATCCCCCTTGGCTACAAAGTCAGAGGTGCTCACGACTCCTCTCAGGTGTGATAATTAACTACAACAACTCAGAGAACTCGGAGAAGTGCTGTCTGTATGTACCGTTACTAGTTTATTGTGAAGGATGTAACATGGGAACGTAGATTTATGTAGCCACTCCCAAAATCGGGACCCAGGGTTGTCCCATCACCCAGAGAAACTCCTTCCAGTGGTTCCTTTACAGTTGTAACCTCTCGCAAGCCTAACTTCTGGCAGCTACCACTATGTCTTTATCACTGTTTTGTTGTGCTTTTGAGAAGGTTATGTAATTTCGACCCTTTAAAATGTTTTATTTTTAAATGCACAGAGGTGGAGAGTCCAATGAACCCCTACGTACCTGCCTCTCGGCTTTGGTGGCTCCCACGTTTTGCCACGTTGGTCTCCCCTGTCCTTCCCATCCCCTCTGTCTTTGCTTTAAAACAAACCCCGACATCATATTTCCCCTTATACATCTCAACAGCAACATAATTCAGGACATTTTCTTATACAATGCCAATGTCACACCGAAAGAAAGTATTAATAATAATTCATCTTTATCATCCAAAGTCAGCATCAAGTTTCCATCATTGTCTCAGTTGACAATTAAATCCGATTCCAAATATGGTTGTTACAAGTCTGTTTTACAAAGAGTGACTGTATATTATTCATTTCAGGTTGAAAGGGGTGCAATAAATTCGTTACATTGGCACAACAGGTATAAGATCAGAACTATCCTGGTGAAACCAAAACATGGTAAACTACTCTGAGGTCTCTTAATCTTGGGCAGTTTCCCCCATCCCATCTCTACCTACGTTACAGTCTGGGTTTGGCCGACTGCTTCCCGCTGCTGTGATCAAGCTCACTGTGGACAAAGTGTGGCCTGCGCTTCCCCTGACTCTCCTGTTTGATGCCCACTGCTTTTCCTCAGATACCGCAGAGTACTTTCACTTCAATTATCAAATCTGGCCCTTACAATTCAGTTGGATTTACAGCTCATGACATTAATGGAAAAGTCTGGTAGTTATAACTCCCCTCTCACAAAAAAACGAATCACGGCTATTGTTAATCTCAGTTAAATCAAGTCAAATTGGCATTTGGATCCCATCCTCAGTGTTGCTACATCATCTCCCATCCCAGCTGGGCCAGTCCTTAACCCTCTAGGAGAGTTCTGCTGCCTCCGGCAGGAGGGCTAGAGCCTCTGGTATACTGCTTCCAAATTTTCTACCAAACCCACAGCGCTCAACAGCATTGCTGCCCCAGTTAAAACTGCTTGATTGGCCAGGCAACCAAGCTGGCCAGGAAGGTCAGAAAGCTAATAAGAGAGGGAGGAAGGGAGGGAGAGAGAGAGGGAGAAGTGGGGGAATACTTTTAAAGAACAGAATGCTTAAACTTTGGTCTGTGTGTTCAGCTGATGTGCACATTTCTGTTTTGGGACTCTTACTGCTGTTTAATACTGTGCTCAAATCGGGGCGTGCAGATGTGAGTACAGCCTAGAAGGCCACACGCTGAAACGTTGAGAGTGGTGCTGAGTGATGGGCACTAAGTGTAATGGTGATTTCTCTTCGCACTTTTCCGAATTTTGAACTTGACAACTGCTTATTCCTTTATGATTGCACACACAGCAACTTCACAAAGCCTTATTGCTGACTGAGCAATGAAAAGGGGGTTTTACGTCTCATCGTCCCTCTAACTCCAGGTGTGGGTGTTTCCAGGAAGCCTTGTTTTCTCATTTCCTGCATGCAGTGCATCGGTTTGTTTTGTCCAACTGTACTGAGGCATCACCTTCCTTGTTGTTCTACCTTAGGAAAATGGCAAAGCTCAGGTGAAACTTGAAGATGAGCGGGAAAAGCTAAAGAAACAGAAGACGAAACAGGAAATTAGGGTCACTTTGCAGAAAGCTCTCCAAGAGAAGATAGAACGTGTTCAGCAGGAACACAGACAAGAGCAGGACTTGGACCTGAAGCTCGTGCGCAGCGCCTTGCAAGACTTACAGGAAGAGGCTGATAAAAAGAAGCAAAAAAGAGTAAGACGTTCATTCAGTGCCTAATACATGCTGGGTGGGGTTCCTTGTTGAGTTCTCAGTCTTGCAGGAGCCGGACCTGTGCAGAATGAACCGCAGCAGTGCCACTGTAAGGGTGGCATCAGCTGTATCGGAGAACGGTACAAATAGAGATTCATAGGTGCCTGAATCAGAAGTCATAAATCCAGATCCCGGTAGGGACAAGGAACCTGTGTTTTAGCAGGATCCCTTACGTTGTTATTCGGGTCATCACTGAATTTCGATTGCTCCTAGTCGATAATGTGGCATTGGCACTGGGGTAGCAGGATGGGATCACGGGGGGAGGAGTGACTAAGTGTCGGGAAGCAGGGGAGGACATGCTTGAGAAAGTGATATTTGAGTTGGATCTTGGAGGGTACGTAAAGTTCCGTCAGGCAAAAAGGGTAGAGAGAAGCATTCTAGTAATTTTTGAGCTGTCTGTTCCTTTGAAATTTGTTTTTAAACTCTTAAGGGTGTCATGCTTTTCCTGTTGTACTATTTTTTATAGACTTTTTCGGAGTGGTTTTATGTTCAAGCAGAAGTGAGCGGAAGATAGAGATTTCCTATAGCCTCCTGTCCCCACAAGTGCACAGGCTCCCTCATCATCAACATCCCCTACCAGACGGGTGCATTCGTTACGGCTGATGAACCTGCACTGATATCATTATTACCCACAGTCCAGAGTTTCCATTAAGGTTCACTCTTGATGTTAAACATTCTATGGGTTTGGACTAATGAATAATGGCATGTAATCGCCACAACAGTATCACATGGAGCAGTTTCACTGCCCTGAAACTATCTCTATAGTACCGCCTTTTCCAGAATCTTATGTAGTTGGACTCATACAGTATGAGCCTTTTTAGATTGGCTTATTTCACTAAGTAGTATGCATTTAAACTTCCTATCTTTTCATGGCTGGATAGCTTATATCCTTTTAGCACTGAATAATATTCCATCATGCAGAGATGTACCACAGTTTATCCATTCACCTCCTGAAAGACACCCTTGGCTGCCCCCAGGTTTTGGTGGCTATTAATAAAGTTGCTGTGCACATTCACATGTAGGTTGTGGTGTGAACATAAGTTTTTAACTTGGGTAAATACAAACAGAGCTATTGTAGGATCATATGGTAAAAATGTGTTTAGTTTTGTAGGAAACCACCAAACAGTCTTCCAAAGTGTCGGTACCACTTTGCGTTCCCACCAACAGTGAATGAGGGCTCATATTACTCCACATTTTCATCAGCATTTGGGGTTGTCAGTGTTCCGGACTTTGGCCAGTCCAATAGACATGTAATGCTGTCTCATTGTTGTTTTAATTTGTGTTTCCCTGATGACATATGATGTGGTGCATTAAGGGTTCTGAACCCAATTTCATTATAAGGAAGTGGGGGTTTTCCAAGCAATGCCCAGGACATCAGCTGGGTGTCCTACAATTTGGCTCAATTCTGACACCGTTTACCAAGAGATAGCATCCAATTGCACAGGTAAAAAGGGCCCAGTTCTACAAGGCCAGCCACTATTTTAGGCACCAATTGCAAGCCCAGGTTGTTAACTGTGCTTCTAACTACCAGCTGCAAATTGGAGCTTCCAATAACTCGAATGCTGATTGCAAATTGAGGTTGTGACCTGTATTTCTGACCGGCTGGCTATAAATCAGAAGTTTCCACGGCCCCCTCCTTGGGCTTGATTAATTTTCTAGAGCAGTGAAGAGAACTCAGGAAACCCATTTACTCACTGAATTATCTGTTTGTTACGAAGGATATTAAAGGATGCAGACCAACACAAAAGAAGAGATACATAGGTTTTAGACAAAGGAGCTTTTGTCCTCGAGTGGTTTGGGACCCGGCATGGTGGAACATGAAAGTGTTCTGGCTCCCCGACCTGGGCGCCCTCCAAACCCTCTCTTTTTGGACTTTTATGAAGGTTTCATTACATAGACACAGTGATTAAATCACTGGCCGTTGATGTAACTTCCAGCCCCTTTCCCCTCTCTGGAGATCAGGGTGTTGGAACTGGGGTTCTAACTCCCTAAACACATGGTTGGTTCCCCTGGCAACCAGCCCCCAACCTTAGGTGCTGTATAAAAGTCACCTCATTAACATAAGACACCTTTCTCACTTTCATTACTTAGGAAGTCCTAAGAGTTTTAGGAGCTGTGTGCCAGAAATGGGAACCAAATCACCAAATATGTATTTCTTACTATAAATTGTTCACAATATTGCAAGCATCATGAAATCAGATGTGATGTGACCTTTGGCCTGGCTCCTTTCACTTAACGTGTTTTCAAGGTTGACCCATGTTGTGCTGTGGGTGAGCACTTCATTCCTTTATGTGGCTGGATAATGCTCCACTGTGTGGATGTACCCCATCTGGTTTATTCACTTGTCAGCTGATGGATACTTCAGCTCTTTCTACTTTTTGGCTATTATGAATCATGTTACTGTTATCATTGATGTGTAAGTTTTTGTTTGGACATAGGTATGTTTTTGGTTTTTTCGGGTACGTAACTGGGAGTAGAATTACTGAGTCCTAGGGTAACTCTTATGTTTAAGGTTTTGAGGAATTGCCACGTTATTTTCCAAAGTGGCTTCACTATTTTGCATTCTCACTAGCAGTATAGGAGGGTTCTGATTTCTTCACATGCTCATTGATACTCATTGTTTGCCTTTTTTAAAAATCTTCCTAGTGTGTCTGAAATGATATGTCATCTTATGGTATGTGATTTTGATTTGCATTTCCCTGCTGACTAATAATGTTGTGTCTCTTTTCTTATGCTTATTGACCATTTGTGTATCTTCCTTGGGAAAATGTATTTGAAATCTATTGTATAGACTTCTTAAAGAAGTTTATTCAAGTCATCTGCCCAATTTTCAATAGGGTTATTTGTCTTTTCATTATTGAGTTGTAAGAGTTCTTTTTACGTTCTACAAATTACCTTACATGTGTGGTTTGTAAATATTTTTTTCTTACTGCACTTTCTTGATGATGAACTTTGAAGTACAAAAGTTTTTAATTTTGATAAAGTCCAATTTATGTTTTCTTTCCTTGCTTTTGCTGTCATCTCTAAAAAACTATTTCTGGGCCCAGATTGCAAAGATGTTTTCTTGTTAGTTATATAGTTGTAGCTTTTACATTTGGGCCTTTGATGCATTTTTCGAGTTGTAGTTTTGTATGTGGTGTGAGGCAGAGGTCCACCTTCCACATGTGGACGTCCTGTGGTCCCAGCACCATTTCTTGAAGAGACTTCTTTTTCCCTTTGGAATTTTTGGCACCCTTGTTATAAATCCATTAACAGTACATGTGAGGGCTTATTTTTGGACTTTGACTTCTATTTCATTATCTGTGTGTCCACCCTTATGCTTTATCGCATGTTTGTATGTCTTTATCACTGCAGTGAGTTTGAAATCGGGAAATGTGAATCCCTCCGCTTGGTTCTCATTTTTCAAATTGTTTTGACTGTGCTGGCTTCCTTCCATTCTCGTAGGAATTTAGGATCACTTTACCCATTTCCACAAAGGAGACAATTGGGATTTGGATAGAAATTATTTTGAATCTCTAGACCAATTTGGGACAATTACCATTTTAACAATATTGTCTACTGATCCATGAACATAGAATGTCTTCATTTATTTAGGTCTTCTTTGATTTCTTTCAATAATATTTTTTAGTTTTAAGAGTATAAGTTTTGCTTTTCTGTGTTAAATTCACTCCTAAGTGAGACTGAGACTATGCCGACAAGCCATGGTGATAGTCCAGCTACACCCTCAGGCCTCACTAGTCCTACCTCAGATCTGTGACATTCTCCCAAGAGATCAGATCAGAGATCAGATGGAGCAGCACAAATACAAAACCAGGGAAGATGGAGAGCCAGCTGAAACATCTTTGTTATCCAGCCCAGTTGACAACCTTAGCTGCACATTAAGATCACCTGGAGAACTTAAACACTGTCCATTAGATAGGAAACTCTGGAGGTGAGACTCAGCCCTTGCTGCTTTTTAGAGCTCCCAAGTGTAGCTGAGATTAAGAGTTGCTGTGGTAAAGTATCAGGTGACTGAGTTGTCATCTAGACGGAGACAGTGCAGAGGCAGGAGTAGTGACTGACTTTGTCTATCAGGTTAAGATTTCATCTCCCTAAATTAAAATACATGAAAATAAAGCTGTATAATTGCAGATTATTTTGGAACTGCTTTGAGAAGTAACTCATTTAACAACATATTTTAAAACACTTCAAATAGATACAGAGAATAGTACAAAGAACCCCACGCGTCCCTCACCTGGTTTCAACAACCATCAGCTGACGGCCATCCTGGTTTCGTCTGTGCCCCCACACATCACCCCACCACTCCCAGATATTTTGAAGTAAGCCCTTGGCATAATCTTTCATCTATAAATGTTTCAGTAGTAGTTTTAAAACATTGAGATTGTAGCTCTAAAAGATTGTTTTGAATGTCCGCAGTATCATTATCACACCCAAAAGTTTTACCATGTGGTAATTTTTGTGTTGCGTAGGAGGATATGATAAGAGAACAGAAGATATATCATCAGTATCTGGCACAGTGTCGTGAGGAGGAAAGTGCCCAGGAGAGAGAACTGGACAGAATACTGGAGGAGGAGAAGGCAAAGAAGTTGGCTGAGAAGGACAAGCAGCTGAAACTTGAAAAGGAGGCAAGGAAACAACTTGTGAATGAGGTCATGTGCACAAGAAAACTTCAACTTCAAGAAAAGCGTAAGGAAATAAATTCTAATTCTGTTTTAATTGAGCCTTGTTACATTCATCGTAAAGTAACAACTTTATTGTTTATATTTATTTTAATATTCACATATTTATATTGAATAAATATTTTAAATGAATAAATATCAATAAATATTCAATATATTTATATTAAACATAAAATTATAATTATGGTTTTGTTTTATTGATTATGCTATTATAGCTGTCCCATTTTTTTCTCCCTTTTATCCCCCTCCACCCTGTACCCCCCACCCTCCAGCATTCCCCCCTTTGGTTCATGTCTATGGGTCATACATATAACTTCTTTGGCTTCTCCATTTCCCATACTATTCTTAACCTCCCCCTGTCTATTTTGTACCTACCATTTATGCTTCTAATCCTTATGCCTTTTCCCTCTTTCTCCCCCTTCCACTCCCCTGTTGATAACCCTCCATGTGATCTCCATTTCTGTGATTCTGTTCCTGTTCTATTGTTTGCTTAGTTTGCTTTTGTTTTTGTTTTTGTTCTTGTTCTTTAGGTTCAGTTGTTGATAGTTGTGAGTTTGTTGTCATTTTATTGCTCATAATTTTGGTCTTCTTTTTCTTAGATAAGTCTCTTTAAAATTTCATATAAAAAGGACTTGGTGATGATGAACTTCTTTAACTTGACCCTATCTGGGAAGTACTTTATCTGCCTTTCCATTGTAAATGATAGCTTTGCTGGATAGAGTCATCTTGGATGTAGGTCCTTGTCTTTCATGACTTGGAATACTTCTTTCCAGCCCCTTCTTGCCTATAAGGTCTCTTTGGAGAAATCAGCTGACAGTCTTATGGGCACTTCTTTGTAGGTAACTGTCTCCTTTTCTCTTGCTGCTTTTAAGATTTTCTCCTTATCTTTAATCTTGGGTAATTTAATGATGATGTGTCTTGATGTGTTCCTTCTTGAGTCCAACCTCTTTGGGACTCTCTGAGCTTCCTGGACTTACATGTCTATTACCTTCATTATTGTTTCATATGAGTTTTCAATTTCTTGGTCTTCCTATTCTCTTTCTGGTACCCCTATGATTCAGATGTTAGAATGTTTAAAGTTGTCCCAGAGGTCCCTAAGCCTCTGCTCATGGTTTTTTGTTTTTTTGTTTTTTGTTTTTTAATTCTTATTTCTTCATTCTGTTCTGGTTGAATGTTTTTTTCTTCCTTCTGTTCTGAATCATTGATTTGAGTGTCCCAGTTTACTTCCCTTCACTGTTGGTTCCCTGTATATTTTCTTTATTTCACTTTGTATAGGCTTCACTTCTTCCTTTATTTTGCATCTGTACTCAACCATTTCTGTGAAAATCTGATTACCAGTGTTTTGAACTCTGTATCTGATAGGTTGTCTATCTCCTCATTGCTTAGTTCTTTTTCTAGAGTTTTGACCTGTTCTTTCATTTGGGCCATATTTCTTTGTCTCGGTGCATTTGTTACATTGTAAGGAATGGAGCCTTAGGTATTTGCCTGGGTGGGGCAACCCACATTGCTGTGCTGTGCGGCACTGTATGTGAGGGAGGGGTCAGAAAGGGAACAATGCCACTTCCTTGGTTCTTGCCCTGCTCTCAGTCACTTCCTCCATTACGTATAAGCAATTGGGCCCTTCTGGTGCTAATTCCCAGATGGGTGGGTTTGTGTACATTCTAGCAGCCTGTGGGTCCCTCCAGTGGACTCTCCTGTAAGACTGGGAGTTTCTCCCACTGCCACAACCCCCACACATTTTTACAACCAGAGGTTTTGAGGCTTTATTTCCCTGTCCTGGAACCCTGGATTCCGTTGTCTGTCTTGCTCCCCAGTTGTTCCTCCTGGCTTATCCACACATGAATGTGGGACCACCAGGTCTGCCAGCCACCCCTTGCCGTGTGTCCCCTCTGCCCCAGCTGCCCGTCTCTGCCCCTCCCACCAGCCTGGATGAATGTTTCTTCTTTAACTCCTTGGTTGGTGGACTTCCATACAGTTCAATTTTTTGGCAGTTCTGGTTGTTTTTTTGTTTTCAAATTGGTTGGTGTCCTTCATTTGGTTGTGCAAGGAAGTGAAGCATATCTACCTACACCTCCATCTTGGCCAGAAGTTTCCTATGATTATGTTTTAATTGAGGCAAGTTAAAATTTCATTTAAGTAACAACCAATATATTCTTTTTTTATTAAAAATTTTTTATTTATTTATCTTTAGAAGGGAAAGGAAGGGAAGGAGAGAAGGAGAGAAATATCAATGTATGGTTGCTTCTCGTGTGTCCCCTTCTGGGAACTGGCCTCTGCTAGGAACTGGCCTGCAACCCAGGCATGTGCCCTGACTGGGAATCGAACCGCGATCTTTTGGTTTGCAGGCCCGTGCTCAATCCACTGAGCTACACCAGCCAGGGCCCAATATATTCTTTAAGTAGGTATTATGTATGAAATACTAGGAGGGATGAAAAAGGATTAAGGCAAGATCCTTCCCTTGCAGATGTTACCTAATTATGACCTCATACACTTTGACCATACTGTATGAAGAGTTTTGTATCCCAGCAGACTCTGAGTCGTAGCGGAGACGTCCTCAAGGTGGAAGGAACAGTGTGTCCTCTGAATGGTCTGTGCACCTTAGTGATTATGAAGAAGAGTGAGAAGGTCCCAGGGCACAGACTGCCATCTCCCCCCTCTCCCCTTTACCTATCCCTCTTTTCTTTCTGCAAGTGTCTCCGTGCTTTCCTACCTGCATACCTTTGCTTGGGTAGTTTTCTTTGCCTATGATGCTTTTGATCTTGAGACATTCTGGACATCCTTCAAGAAAGCTCAAATGTCTCATTCCTGGAGAGGCCCTCTGTGTCACCCAGTTCATAATAAATCCTCTTTCTGGGCCTCTCACGGTGTCTTACTCATGTCTTAGCACACCATTGTGTTCCCTGAGCTTCGAACGGTGCCTGGTTACTGAAGGAAATATTTGTAGAGAGGACCAACGGCCTCCTCAGGTTCCCACCATCCCGTGTCCAGCCCAAAGAACTGTAGGCAGGAAATGGATGGATTACTGGCAGGTGCCACAGACTTCACACTAGTTGTCTTTGCAAGAGAAAGCTCATCTCGGCTCTACTGGTGAATTCTCCACTCCAGACATGACAACAACAGCTGAAAATTGTTGAGTCAGGATTAGGTAGAGTTTTAGGAAAATGAAAAGAAAGCTTATAAGCTAAAAAGATTTCTGTTTTCACCCATGACAGTGTTTCAGAATGTACTGAGAAAACAGAAAATTTAAGTATTTGAGACCATTTATAAACAAGGAAACATAATCAACCGTAATTCCACCAGCCCAGGAATAGCTACTATTCACAACTTCATGTATTTCTTTTCAGTATTTGTAGTGTGTATATAATTTCCCCCCACAAATCAAGATCATGTGGAATGTATTGTTTTATGGTCTGGATTTTCTACTTATCATTAGTATTTTCCAGGTCATTTTCCTTTGATTTAAGGTTTGTAATGCTGCCTAGAAATCCATGATAAAAATGGACTGTATTTTATTTTACCTAAACCCAACTATTCAGAATGTTTTGAATCTTTTTACTACTACTTTAGCATTGCAGGTTACCATCAGTAAGCAACAGATGACTGTATTACAATATTGTAAAAGCTCTGTAAATTTTTTTTATTTTGACTTATATATGATTAAGATATGTTTCTATAAGTAGATTTGGGGAAGATATGTACCTTTCAGATGTATATAGCCCATTTGCATTTATTCTTTTGTGAACTCTATTCTTTGTTATTTTTTTCTATTGGGATGCTTCAGTTTTTCTTACTTAATTTATAAAGACCTTTTGTACTAAGGCTTTCTCAATGTTTTTTGCAATAAATAAAATCTCTCACTAGCATAAGAGAACTACTTTTAGAACTACTTGTCCACAAGAAGAGAAAGGCGAGCCCTGTTCTAACTGTGGTGATCTGGTTTGGAAAAGGCTGACCATAGAGTCTCAACAATAAATGATGGAAAGAAACTCTGTGGAGATTACAGCACCTACGGACCTCAGCCCCGTTCTTGCCTCGGTGGAGACACCCCCGTCTGCCTTATTGATCTGAGATCCAGCCCAGTGCTTCTACGTTCTGCCTTTCTAAAATGAGTATGGTACCAATGCCCAGAAGGATGTTAGCAAGCCTTGTCCAAAAAAGTCTGTTAGCAAAAATTGCTTTTGTCTTTTGTAGTGCAACGAAAGGCAAAAGAAAAAGAAGAACGTTCTCTGGAACAGGAGCACATAAATGAAAGCCTTAAAGAGCTTAACCGTGAAGAGAAGGAGAATTTCGAAAGGTATGGCTTTGTTTTCTTTATTATTACTTACTACCTAAAGAAAAAAAAGGAGGTTTTTGGCATAGAGGACAATGTGCTGTAATTCTGGCATTACTGACAGGATTTGACATCAGCATAGTTATGTGCTATGTGGCATTTCTGTCAACGACACCGCATGTGCGTTGGTGGTCCCACGAGATTCTAACAGAGCTGAAAAATTCCCGTCACCTTGTGAGGTCACAACTGTGGTAACGTTGTAGCACAACTCATTGCTCGTGGGGCTTTGTGGTGATGCTGGCGTAAACAAACCTGCTGGGCTGGCAGCTGAATAAAAACACTGTATTCTTGTTTTTACTGCTCTTTTTCTATGTTTAGGTATATTTGATACGCAAACACCAGGCTCGTAGCCTACGTACGTGGCAGGCTACACCATCTGGGTTCGTACAGCAATGAAATCAGCTAACAACATACGTCTCCTATGTCCCCGCTGTTAAGTGACATGTGACTGTATTACATTCATCCTCAAAGCTCACATCAGTTATGGAATCTCATGTTAAAATAAATACTAACTGTCTTGGCGAATTTAAATTCTTTTACTATTGTGTACATTCTGATTATACACATTGAGTATCGAAGTGGATGAACATCTTAAAAAACTAATGTAAATTAGAAACAAGCTTGAAAAATTTATTTTATTTTATTTTAGAGAGAGGGGAAGGGAAGGAGAGAGGCAGAGAAACATCAGTTCATTGCCCTCTGCCTTCTGCCAGCGCCCCAGTGGCGCAGAGCACAGAGCCTGCAAGCCAGGCGTGTGCCCTGCCTGGTGACATTTAGGTTTGCAGGGTGATGCCCAACTGAGCTGCAGTGGTCAGGGCAGAAACAAGGCACCCATCCCAAGTCCTAATGAAAGAACAAGACAATCCCATCCTCCCCACCCCAACCCCATGACAAAAACTCTGAAAATAGAATCTGCCACAGAGACACATACATTCTACAATCTTTATTTCTAATAAAAGCTGATATTCAAATGTGGCTTACAGCCCTGGCTGGTGTGGTTCAGTGGATTGAGCGCCAGCCTGGGAACCAAAGGGTGACTGGTTCTATTGCCAGCCAGGCACATGCCTGGGCTGCAGGCCAGGTCCCCAGTAGGGGACACACAAGAGGCAATCTCACATTGATGCTCTCTCCCTCTTAACTCTGCCAATAAATAAGTAAATAAATAAATAAATAAATAAATAAAATATTTAAAAAATCAAATAAAATGTGGTTTATAGATTGTAAAAATTGTATAGCTGCTGTGGATAACAGTATGAAATTTCCTCAAAAAAATTAGTAATAGAACTATCATATTATTGATGTAAGAAATGTTCATACCTGTAGAAAGTTTGTGTAAGAGTTTATTTGAGCCAAACGGATGACAGTGGTCAGGAAGCAAGATCTCAAATGTGAATGACAGTTTCACAGTTTCTTTTATGCATTTGGAATATACAAGGGAAGGTAGGGAAGATTACCTGAGGTTGTGAGAAAGCAATGATTATAGGCAGTGAACGAGATTACCTGCTTTCCTGAGGGTGGTTATGCTGATTTCAGAGGTGTGTTGGCCTGTATGCTTGGGGCATGATGACTCGTTTAGGAATTCATGGTCAGGTCGTCCTGGGAAGTCCCTTTCCACCGAACTCCTTTTTTGTCCACAGTCTGATCCAGCCATCTCACTTCTGGTATATATCCAGAATAGTGAAAAGCAAGAACTTGAAGAGATATGTGCGTGGCCATGTTCATAGCACCATTCACAATAGCCAAGAGGTGGAAATAACCCAAGTGTCCATTGGCAGAGCTGTAGATAAAATGTGGCATATGCGTACAATGGAGTATTATTATGCCTTAAAAAGGAGGGAAATTCTGACCCTTTTAACATGGGTGAACCTTGAGGACATTATGCCAAATGGAATAAGCCAGTCACCAAATTATAAGCACTGTATTGTTCTACTTATATAAGATAACTAGAATAGTCAATTCATAGAGCCAGCAAGTAGTGTGGTGTTTACCAGGGGCTGGGAAAGGAGGGAAAGGTAAGTTTTTATTGTTTGGTGGGTGTAGAGTTTCAGATTTATAAGATGAAAAAGTGAACTCACAACAATGTGAATATCCTCATACTTAACACTATGGAACTTAAAAACACTTTTAAGTGTTGAACTTAACACTTAAAAATGGTTAAGCTGGTAAGTTTTACATCATGTGTTTTTTACCACAATAAAAAAAAATCCCACTATAAATTTTAAGATATGACATATATTTAAAACGTTGCTTATGTGTGGAGGAAGTTGTCTAGTCACCCTGAGCGGAACGGGGCAAACCGACCCACGTCCTCACCGGCAGTGCGAGGCCACTGCGGGTGCTCCGGCGGCCCAGCCCCCTGGCAGGCAGCAGAGGCGGCACCTGGCAGACTGGCCTGGGCCCCTGCTCCCAGCCCTGGGGGGGTGGGGCGGGGGAGGGGTGGAAAGAGGCCCAGACTCTCCACGTCACAGTAAATATTTTGAAATCTTCTTTCCCTGAAATCAGTATTTCCTACGATTGATTATCTTATTGTGTCTTATTGTGTAAGGAACACGTCACTGAGTTTGTCATCTGTCTCTTCCCAGTCATACTGATTTTAATGGGAATTTTAATTTGACTTCACCAATTCTATTTTAATTGTGATGCCCTAAATAAACCCAAATGCTTACTTTTACAATTTTATTGCTTTGACATTTCGACATTTCCAATTCCATAGGCGCTCCAAGTTAGCCCAGGAGTACCGGCAGCAACTTGGGATGCAAATGTCCTACCAGCAGCAAGCCCGGCAGGCAGAGAAGGAGGAGGAGCGCCGCGAAGTGGAGGCGGGGCTGGCCGCGAACAGGGTCTGCCAGGACAAGATCCGCGAGCTGCTGTGCGCGCATCGGGTGCAGCCCCGAAACGTCCACCCCATGCGGAGGGCGTGCTCCACGCGGTTTCCACCATAGTTTCGTAACCAATTTTTCCTCAGTCTTTCCGTATTTTTAACTGCAGTATGCTTAGTATATGTTCCTTTGAACTCTTAGATAAACTTCTTATTTTCTCTGAGTTTGCATAATGATACATGATTTTGTTCCTTTTTTAGATGTCGCAGGCTTACAAATCTGAATGGTCTATTTCAGATCACGGTTATTTTCCGAACCTACCCCGTGACTCCATTCCTGTTATTTCTAAGAGCGACACCTTCTGTCTCCTGTCTGCCCATATTCCCCCCTCCTCTTGCCTCCTTTCTCTTCTCTCTCCCTAATTCATCATTACCAGCAGGGCACTTTTGCACACAGAGTTGGGATGATCAGCCACTCTCGCTGACCCTCTTTTTCAGTCATTAAACAAATATTTACTGAGTGCCTCCCATGTACGATCCTGGAGCTGAGACTTCAGTGAGAAGGAAACAAACCCCTCGCTCTCGTGGAGCTAACCTCCTAGGGGGGCAACAGAGAGACAAGTGCTGTGAAGCAGCAAATGGCAGGAGTGTGATTTCGTTTTATGTGGATGGCCGGAAAAGATCTCTTTGAGCAGCTGACACGTCAATGGACCGGTCATGCAGTTATCTGGGGGAAAACATCCCAGGCAAAGAGCCAGTGCGAGGGCACTGGGGCAGAGGTCCGCTTAGTGCATTTGCAGGGTAGCATTTGTGCTGGAGCAGAGGGAGCGAGGAGAGAGTGGTAGATTCATCAGAAGGGTAGTGAGACCAGACGAGGTATGGCCTTGGAGCCATGGTGAGGACCGGCTTTTTCTTGGTAATAGGAAGCTGTTATAGGGTTTTTATTCATTAAGCTTTTATTTATTTTTAGAGAGAGGGGAAGGGAGGGAGAAAGAGAGGGAGCGAAACATCAGTGTGTGGTAACAGCCTCTCGCTGTTACAGGGTTTTGAACGGAGGAACAACATGGTGTGATGTTAAGAGGCTTGCTGGCTGCTGCGTTGAAAACAGACTTCAGGGAGACAGAAACGGAGATTTGATTAAGAAGCAATCACAGTAACCCAGACGAGGGTGATGGTAGTGTGGTAGCCAGCCTCCAGGGCAGCCCCTAATGATCCTCTCCTCCTGTATTCCTGGCTTGTGTAGCCCCAGCCACCCTGAATCTTGCCTTCCCTGTGTGACCAATACGATACTGCAGAGGTGACAGGTGTAACTTGAAGTCTAGGTCATAAAAGATACTGCAGCTTCCGTCTTAAGTCTCTTGGATCACTCACTCTGAGGGAAGCCAGCTGGCTGCCATGCGTATGGAGAGGATGCTCAAGGAGCCCTCTTGAGAGGCCCGTGGGGGGGTCCAGGGCACTGAAGTCTCACCCAAAGGCTACAGGGCTTGCCAGCCCTGGGAGTGAGCTGGCTGCCTGGGAAGGTGCCTCCACACCAGCTGAGTTTTAAGATGATTATTTCCCTGGTGGACATCTTGAATGGTCAGGCAGGCTTTTCCCAAATTTCTGACCCCAGAAACTGAAAGAAATGATAAATGTGTATTGGGTTTTTAAGCCTCTGAGGTTTTGGGAATTGTGTTAGATGCTGCAACAGATAACTAATACACACATATATGTATCTTGGATGAGGGTAGAGTCTGGGGCACGGTGAGAGAGCTCATGCTCTGGCTCTATTTTGAAGGTCGGGCCGACTAGATTTGGTGGTGGGTGGATGTGTGGAAGGTAGAGTGTTGAGAGTGAGGGATGGGCGCTACTTTCCGTCAGAGCAGCAGCTAAGTGAACTGCACTCGGGGTGGGACGGTTGACACACCTCTTCTCCTGTTCTTACTGGCGTCTTGAAGAGCAAGACTGTTAAATTTCGATAGTCTATCCTTCTTTTCCTTTTATGGATCATGTGTTTAGTGGCATATCTAAAATCTTTGCATAATCCAAGGTCATAGATATTCTTCTGTTTTCTTCTAGAAGTTTCAGAGTTTTATCTATAACACTGAACACTATGCTCTATTTTGAGCTCTTTTTTTGGCAGGGCAGGAGATGGTGTGAGATGATGGTCTAAGTTCGTTTTTTCTCTCTCTTTTTGTATGTGGCTCACTGGTGGGTCAGCACAGTTGACTGAAAGGCTGTCTTGTGGGCAGCTTCATCCGTTTGCTCAGTGTGGTTCATTCATTCAGGGGTCAGTGGTTTTGCTTCCTCTCCGTGCTGGATCACATTAGCATCTTCACCTGGCTGGTGGTAATCCCACGTACTGTCTAAATGCTAGCCTGTTTGGTGGGGGATTTAGGCCTGGGAATCTTGGGCACTCCGTAAAATACGTACATTCACTGTGGAAATACACATGCTCATATTCCTGACATTCAACATTATAATTCTTTTCACTTCTCTGAGTTTCCTCCCAATGGAACTCGCTCAGGGATGTTCATATGGAAACTCATCTCTGCATGGTAAACACTGGGTTGTTGCTCTACAGATCATGTTCACAAAGTATAAAGGCTACACAGTGGTCTCCCGAGTTAGTGTGCTGGGATTTGTTAGACATTGGACTTTGTTTCCCATGCGTCTCTACTATCAGTTACACTGTAACAACAATATTCATTTGAGTTATTTCCTTAGGTCCACTTAATTCCTTGGAGTGGGATTTCTGGGTCAAAGGCGATGAACATTTTTTATATTTTGCTTTCAAGTGCCACATTTGCAAAAGCAGTTTTTAGAGATGTAGACTTTTTAGAGAAATGTTTCCAGGGCCACTTGGTATTATCTCTGAAGGGTTAAAATTTATTTAAGCAAATTGTCAGCTAGACTGTGAAATGTTTTTTTTGTTTGTTTTTCTTTAAAAAAAAAAAACCTTCTTACCCATTCATCCACTTTTATCTGATCTCTGTGAATCTGTTTCCCCCAGTGGATTCTTTCAAGTCTGCTGTAGCCAAAGTTAATTTCCAACCCCAGAGTGTGGGCATTCTGACAAAAAAGAAAAAGACCGTCCTTTGAGTTTCGTGGGAAATTAAGGTGGTTTTCTTCTGGGTGCTGTCTTCGGTCGATGTATTTGTTTATCCTGATACCTACACAACACTGGAGCGCTTAACTAGCCCTTTAGTAAGCTTTGCAGTTGGTGGCGTAAATCTTCGATAGTGTTCTTTTTTCCAGCATTGTTTTGTCTGTTCCAGATGGAATGCCCATGATCATTACTGGGGTCCTCTGGTCAGTTTCCAGCCACACGGAGCAGTCGCTCCCCGGCTCATGTGCTCTTTCTGCTCTCTCCTCGTTCTCTGCTGTTTCCACGTCCTCTTCTTGTTCTCTCTGTGTTTTGCACTCAGTAAATGACATAAAAGATCGTTTATACTGGTGGTGGTCATAATAGCACCAAGCTGGTAAAGTCCAAGTGCCCGTCCAGACTAGGGTGGAAAATAACACACACAGCAGGAACGAATGCACGTCACTGTGTGCAGCAGCATGGCTAAGCCTCAGAGACATGATGCTGAGCAGAGTCAGTCAGACGTAGAACAACACGCATTCGGAGGTTCCACTTGGGAAAAACTCGAAAGCAGCAACACGAATTCTTGGTGTTAGAAATCATGTGACTGCCCTTTTGGGGAGAGCGACTGGAAGGGGACTTTGGATGTTTATGTTCTGTTTCTTGATTTGGGTGGTGGTTACTCAGTGTGTTCACCTTGAGAAACTCTTCAAGCTATATATTTATGATTTGTGTACTTTTCTCTGTGTGTGTGTGTGTGTGTGTGTGTGTGTGTGTGTGTGTTATACTTCCACTGAGAGGTGGTTGATTTGTTTTTTTAAATCAGCCTTTCTGAAATAGCTGCCATGGGTCATGGTGCTGGTGTCTGGAGCTGCACAGACTCACTCCAGGGTCCAAAGGCCACTGTCAGGTCTTTTCATTTATTCTTTATGGGCACCTCCCAGGTGTCCGTCTGCTCGAGGCCAGTCTTTATTAGCTTGCCCTCTAGTGGTCACACCTCATTTTTCCAACTTGGTATTAAAGCAGCAGGCTCTGCACTGCGTACCTACAGCCCAGAAGGGGTCCGCAGAGCAGAATCCAGCGTGACCACACCTCCTTCAATCAGTGCATCACCTTCCATCCAATGCAACCCACAGCTGAGTGCCCATCTTCCAGTCCCACCTGAAAAATGCAGGTGCAGCTGCCTTCTCCCTGGCAGGCCCCACCGCTCTGTTACAAAGAAGACATCAAGGAGCTGTGTTTAACACCACTCGACAGGACAAAGTATCTCCACTCATTTTATCACTTTCTTTTTGCTCATAAATTACCAGCATGCTAACTCCTGCTGCTCTACCTAGTTGTCCAGGAAAACCTATTGTAGCAAGGCCTCCAGGCGACACCGCTAGGCTGACGGTTAATTCGAATTACTGTACGCTCTCCTGCACAGCACCGTATTCTCAGTCACCATGACTTTTCTCTATTTCAGATTGGCCTTCCCTCCCTCTTTCGGTTCTAGTTCAAAAGACCAGTAATGAAGACCAAACTTGACATAGATCTTACTAGGTAGGCACTAGCTATCACCCTACCGCTTTTTACGTGTGATTATTTATTTAAGCCTCACGCCTTAATCTTCTCTTTGAGGGGAGTGGTATTATTATCATACCCATTCCACAGCTGAGGGCACTGAGGCGTGGCAGGTTGAGAACTTTTCAAGACCACCAGGGTAACGTGGTGCAATAAATATTTTGTCTTTGTTCCCAGTTCCTAGCACAGAGCCCCCGAAATACGTGGGATTTCTCAAGTGACAGGCGTGCCTTTTCTCCTTAAGAACCCTGTTTAACCACACCTGATCTTGTGCTAATGTGGGGACTTAGGATGGGGCCCTCACATAGCAGCAGGGTGGAGCCGGTCACCCCAAAGACCAAGTGATTAGAGGATTAGAACTTTCAGCCTCACCCAGAAAAGGCAGGGGCTCCAGAAAGGGGACAGGCTGGAGACGGAGCTGTACGAAAACGCTTGGGTAGCGATGTTTGGTGTCTGCAGAGCTCCAGTGGGTGAGCAAGTGGAGGCGCTGGGAGGGCGACGCCCCCAGAGATGCATGGAAGTGCCGCCCCCCACCCCGGCCCGGTGCATCTCTTCTGTTGGGCTGTTCCCAAGTTTATCGTCTATAGTAAACCAGCA